TCTCTAGAGGCTTTTTCGTTCGTTTTCCCATTAGTCAACAAATTCTCCACAGTTTGCTTTAAGATGGAAGAATTGAATTAAATTTTACTTTTCTTGCAACTAACTTCATATTGTTATTTATCTATCCCATCAAAAGAAAGAAAAAGTTCCGAAGTTATGTATTTCAACATGAATTTAATTTAGTTACTACTTTTAAAAGAGAAAACAACAGAACACGCTTTTTCAAAAAGTGTTTTTTTAAGGTTTATCAATTCTAAAAAGGAATTAATAATAAACTAAACACTACGATCTACAAAATCGTTTACTTGGGAAAAGAGTTTGGGGACTGCGTGCTAAGTGTGCCCAGGTCCTCCAAAGTTATTTAGAAAAAACATTGAGAAATTTTTTTTTATGAGATTGGACTCAAAAGTCTGAGACTCAGGCCTAAAGCTTGAGAGTTGCCAGATCTGGGCGTGTATTCTGAATTTAATGTAGTAATTTATCATACCAACTGTAGGCTTATGTCCAAAGTAGAGATTTAAAAATTTGCTTATTTATAAAATGATCACAATTTTCCTATAACAAACTTTTAAAGATAAATTCAATTCTTAATTTCAATAATTTTCCCTATTTGTTCCAAAATTTATTTTTTCGGTTCCTGTAAAATGGTCTACATTGAACCAAATTCAATTCTTGTTAATTCCCCATCAGATAGGGAAATCCTTTTATAGCTATTGACACGTATCCGATTTACCACATCTATGAAGTGTTAGAAAAGTGCTACACGATATGCATGAAACTGAAGAAGTGCATCAACTCTATTGGATTGTAGAAGAGTACGACGAGCTCTTTGCGTTAGCTTATAGCTCTGTATTTCCATTAATGTAGTTTAGGGTTACTCTATTGGATGTAAGGCATAGAAAAAGTTGATCGAAAGAAACCAATCTTCCGTACAGCTCAAGAAGAAAACTAATTCGCAATTGAGATGTCTAAATTGATGTCACTTCACTTACTTGACTACTGGAAAACCATCACAATCAATAATAGATGTAACGAATAGGAATACGTTTCAATTGGGATAGGTATACGAATCGTCCAATGGGAATATTGCAAACGGAAATTGATTGAATGATTAGCGGAACACTAATCTAGTTCTGACTTAGACATTTCTATTTTTTTTTGAAGGAAAAATAAAACGCAGAATATATACGAGAAACCAAAAAACTGTGGACCTAAATTTAATATCATACAAAATCTTAACGAGTCTCGCAGTGGACTCATCTTTAAGACACAGTTTCCCAGTAGAACACCGAAGTCAAGCATCACTGGCTGCGGTCAGTGTGCGGGTGAGTGACCACTTTGATCAGTCTGCGTAGGGACCGAGGGTGCGCGTGATCGGTCCTTGTTAAATTGTTCTACAGCAAAGTGCTCGACTTCGCGCACAGGTTGTCGGGCTACCATAGCAGAGTAGCCATCCCCTTTGCAGAGGATCAAAATTGCGATGGTATGGTTTAGGGTCATACTCAGGGATGTTTCCCAGACCGTCGCCAACAGCCCTATAATGCAGCTCCAGTGCGACGTAAATAAAGTACCTACCTACATAATCTTAATGCATAATTTATTTTTAATATTAGAGAAATTTTACGAAGCGTTATGGTTTTACCTACAAATCAAAATATTGCTCAAGAGTAGAAAATAAGGTTAGTGTGTTTATTTTTTATAACCGTCGTTGAACAGCCAACCCAATTTTATGAGTTTACGACTACTAATGTTCAACTCCGTAGCCTTGTAATTTTTAACCCAACCCAGAAGACAAGGGAACTCCTGGATCAAGTGTTGGGAGAAATTTATCCTCGTGGAGGACTTTTTGATTGAACCAACCCGCATTTGTGTTACATGGAGAGGAAGACCACGACAGGGTGCGTAGTCAAATCTTTCAACAAAAAACAAGCACCTTTTAAGAACTTTTCAAGCACTCAAAGAATATTTTTAAGCACTATATACTTTAACAAAATGCGAAATAATTTTAAAACACTTTACATTATCATGATAAAGTAACTAGTTTCTGACGAAGAACTCTTTACTTGACTATATTAGCCATTATAAAATGATTGAGATATTTTTCGGTTTGATATCAAAGGGTAAAAAATGAAGCCTGAAATTGAAAATATCTTTCAAAATGCAACAAAGTTGCAGATGATAGTGCAATAATCTCACTGAACCCAGCTCAGTACTCGCAAGTATTTCATCAAACATGCAATATGATTGGCGCTTTCATTCGCTTTGGACCAGCTGTATGTCGAAATAGATTGTTGAATGAACTGTGGAAACGTTGAATAGAACAATGTGAAAAGCACGCTTTTGTAAAATACGTGGGGAAAATCGACATGGTAAAGAAAAAAAATCTCATTTTCGGAAAGGGAAAATTAAGCACTTTTAAAAAACATCCAATGGAAAAAGCACCTTTAAGGGCTTTTAAGAAACCAATATCGAAAATACGCATCTTTAAGCACTTTTTAAAAACGCTACGAACCCTGCACGAGAACCTCCCACGGTTAGCCTGACGGCAAAAGAACTCTAACCCATGATCCGTCTACCACAGAGGATATTTCACGTCAGCACTGTGGTCGGTGCAAGCCGGATGCGGAATTCATATCTACTGGGATTCGAATCAGATTCGCCTCATGGGAAGGCGAATCCCGCATCCAGCTTGCACAGACCACAGTGCTGATGAGAAATATCCTCCGTGGTATCTGGATCATGGGTAATCTCCTTTCCGTCAGGCTAACCGTGAGAGGTTCTCGTGATCTTCCTGTTCATGTAGGGCAAATGCGGGTTAGTTCTATTAAAAAAGTCCCCCACGAGTGTAAATTCTTTCCAATACTTGATCCAAGGGCTCCCTTGTCTTCTGGATTGGATTCAAAATTACAAGGCTATGGAGTTGAACATTAGTAGTCGTAAATCCAAAAATCGGGTCGGCTTTTCAAGGACGGTTATAAAATATTAGAAAAAAGCCAACGAGAGGGCTGTCAGCCACGATATATTTAACCTGCTCTTACTGCATACACACAACAGTTGTTTAGGCGGCGGCCAGGATCAAACTCTGCCAGGAGTGCGCAACACACGCTTTAACAATATACAGGCTATTAAAATTGCAATTAAATCAAAATAAAAAGACTTTGTTCAGTCTGCGAGTATGCATAATCTATTTTGCAAAAAAGAACTTCATTCAAAGCTTAAGGAGTGTCGCTATGCAAATCAGTAAAAAAATTTTTTGAATCTTTAATATGATACGTACCGTTAGGCAAAGGTTTTGTTTTGTCGAATTTCACACAGATTAAAACGAAAAATCAGTTTAACCATGAACCATAATATCAGAAGTTTAATCAAAATATGCTGAAACCTTAGTAAAAACTTAAGCAATTTTTTGACCATTTTGTTTCTGATTATGCACATACAATAGAAAATATCTAGTTGGCGTCTTTCTCTAGCTTGGGATTCCTCAATGCTAAGATCTTCCGAGCTTTTTCAAACAAAACACCTTAATCTATTGTTTAATATGAGTTGTGCTACTTGTGGTTTGCTTGTAGAGCTTGCACAGTTCTAAGTTGTAATTTATTCTCTAATTGCCATCCTTCTTTAATGTATCAAAGATGTCTCACAGAATTTGCAGTCAAGTTTAAGGAGCACCATTATATGGCACAACTTTGCACCAAATCTGTATGATTTTAAGGTTTAAGAAGCACAATAATATGGTTAAATTTTGCATCAAATTAAGGTTTTATCACATTTGAATGAATTTGCGGTTCAAATTTAAGAAGTTCAATAATATGGTTCAGCTTTGCATATTAAGGTTGCATCAAATTTGAAAAATTTCGAGGTTTAAATTTAAGAAGTTCAATAAAAGGCACAAATTTGTACCATATTCGGTTGATAATATGGTTTAAGAAGTACAATAATATGGTTCAATTTCAATTTAAGAATTTGCCATTTACGTTCAATAATATGGTTCAACTTTGCAGCATATTAAGGTTACAGCGATTTTGAAAGATTTTGCATTCAAATTTTAGAAGTATAATAATAACTACATAATGATTGAACTTTGCATTAAATTGTGGTTAAAGCAAATTTGAACAATAATATAGTTTAAGAAATAAAAGAATATGGTTTCAACTTCACGCCTTATTAAGGTTGTTGAACATTTTAATAATAATAATATGGTTCAACACACTACAAAATTTCTAACAGTGTTTGAGTACAGGTCTGTTCAATATACATTGGCAATCACTGTTCTAAATAAATTTATTTGCTAAATTGTTTTATTAAATTTGATCCTAACTTATTTTCTTTTAAAAAAGTTTGACCTTAAAGACACAGATATATAATACCATAAACTTAATATAAAATTAAACAATAACACTTTTAAAAGTTTTATTTTCTAATCTAATGCAATTAAAATAATTTAAAACCATTTATTTATATTGTAGATAAAATGAAGTAACATAGAGAGAAAAAAATTTGTGAGGATGTTATTTACAAGATTTAAAACTGTACACATATATTACAATTACATAATATAGTCTTTTAAGTATTTACACCCCAGTATTTTATATACATTCTACAACACTTATTTATTAGACAAGTAAATATATTAATTTTAAAATATAATGGAAGTAATTAAAATATAGTGATTACCTGCTTACATATCGAGTCCTTGATATATATTTTTAGAATGCCTGTTAAAAATTGAATAAGAAAACTAACAAATTCAAAAACACATATAAATATTAAAGTGAGAAATAAATATCAACGTTTTTAAACCAGAAACTTCTCTGAATAATGATTCTTCAGATTTTCATAATTTTTTCCAGCTAAATTGGTGAATCATAATATTTAAATACTTTTTCACTTCATTTTTAGGATTTTAAAAATATGTATAATAGACAATAGCTGATAAAAAATCTAATTAAAATACCTCAATTTCATTAAATAATTAAAAATTTTTTTTAATTTGTTAAAAATCATTAAAATACTGGCATACATATTATAAATTTTATGCAAAAAAATAAAATTAAAACCCTTAAAAAAATGTCATGTTTTCACAACTACATCATAATATTCAAATAGTATTTTCTGATTATGCATCAATAACTCAATTACAGATAAACATTAACAGTTCTAACAAAAAAAAAAATAATAATAATATAACCACAGTAAAAAATATATAAAATAGAAACAACAAAAACAGTTTTGTTTTAATAATATCTTTTTTTAAAAATTTTATTTTCATAAAAATTGTTAACTTTCACCAAATTACTTTGCTCGATTTATTTTATATGCATTTTTCTTATTTGATAGTATTTATACGTAATCAGAAAGAAATATAGATAATTTCTAGTAGGCTGATGCCATCTTTACAGTTAACAAACATATATAGTATATATGTATGTTTTAATATTAGATTTTTAATATCATTTTATGTTTCATACACTCAGCAGCTTTTTGTAGTTCTCTATTTGTTATACAGTACAGAACCCGTTATCCGGAAATCAGAAAACCGGAACGAAATTCGATAAATTTCCCGCCATTTTAAAAATTTTTTTTTTTTCCTCATAAGATTTTAGGATTTTTCTTTCTTTTTGGAAAGATGTTTACCTTACTATCATTTTGGAAATAATCATAAGTGTATTACTTCGTTTTTCCTTCTTTTTAAGATTATTTCCAAATATTATTTTTTTTAGTTGGGTTTAACAATAAAAAAACAGCTTTTTGTAGCGATTCAGAAAACCAGAAAAATCGGTTATCCGGAATAGCGATGGTCCCGATCGTTCCAGATAATCGGTTCCCTACTGTATTATCAATATATATTATTTATATTAATTAATAAAGCTTCTTGGGTAGATGTAACAAAACGTTTGTAACCAAATATTCTTCTTGCATCTAATAACACATAGAAAAAACAAAGTCTATGTCACACATAGTGGGGTTTCGGCAGTTTATATTGCCAATTACACAAGTTTTTATGTTTATAAATAAATAAACAGTATTTAATTTCACTAACTAATAAATAAAAGATAACATTACCCTTTGCAGCATAAAATTTTCCTTAAAAACACAAAAAAGATTTAAAATTTTTTTTCCTTCTAAAATTGCACATAATTTTAAAACCACAATTCACTTTCCTGATCACCAGGGCCCGCTGGTCTGTTCACTTCTTCATCTGAATCGCTCACGGCCAGATCATTATCAATATTATCAACCTCTTCCGCTTCTTGCTTGACCGGTGGAAATCCGTATCTCCCCTGCAGTAAAAATTCTGATGGATCGTAGTTCTCGTCTATAATCTCGGAGTTTTCGGTATCTCCGCACATGGCCAAGTCAAATTGCACCATTTCGGTGCGTTCCGGTGCCATGCTTGACATTTGGTGCAATTCATTGTCACTATCATATTGCATTTTATCACTCAAGTCACCTTCACTCTTGACAAGGATATTGTGTTCAAGGAGAACGGATTCTTCCTCGTCATAATCCTCGTATTCCTCCTCTTCCGGAACATCGATGAATTCTTCTAAATCGTCATCCTTGGACTGAAATGAAAAGGATGCTATTATAAACAAGCAAGTGATCAATTAGTATAAAATGCTTTAAAGAAAAGGTGGCCGAAAATTGGCACAGAATGCGAATTTTGTGTTACTCATGCAATAAAATGTCGCTAACAAAAAGAATAAGAAAATGGAGTAACACAGTAAAAAAACAGTAAAAAAAAAACACGATTTATTGTTGAGTCCTTCCAGGGTCATGTGACTTCCCGTTTTGTCGATGAAAATGGCCACCAAAAACATGTTTTAAGTTTATACTGACAAGCTCATAATCATCAATATCTTGAAAGAGAAAATTGAGTGTTCCATTAACAAAAATTAGCCACATTTTTTCAAATACAAATTGAATTAAAAATTTAAACGAAAGAGTGGGTATGTACGAGTGGAATCTACTGAGCATTTACCTGATATATTTCATACATAAATCTATACCGTATACTTCAAGCATTGATAAAAATTAAAAAAATATAATTAAAAAAACCTGCAATTTCTTATTCTTATTTCAAAAAAATTTTTTTTTCTGAGAGAATTTTGGGACACACTGCAGCAATGAGAAACAATAGAAAAGGTTGCAAAAGCCTGATATACTCAGTAAAAAATTATCATTTTTATCAAAAATATTTAAACTACAAATCAGCAGGTAGGAAAGAAAAAAATAACATTTCGTTTTTAAACTATAAAACTCTGCAAAAATTATCACAGAGCAAATTGTAAATTACATAATCCAACATAAAATTTTTAAGTTTATGAAATAGATGAACTATTAATTTTAGAATTTAACAATAGTTAATGACTATGAAAAATAATGTAAAAGATAATTCTTGCTAGCAACAATATACTAAAGAACAGTATTGAAATGTCATTTTCGTCCTAACAATTGTAAAGTAACAACAATTAATTAATTTTAATGCAACAATTAAACACAATTTAAACAATACTTAGTTATTTCACTCATTGTTTAGAAAACTTTTTAAAGTATTGTCAAAGAAAAGGATGTTATGCATATAAAATACAGTTTAGTTTATGAAACAAGGTAAAATGAAGAAGAATTGGTGGTGATTACCTCATTGAGTTTGCTGCGGTCACCATGGTCACTCAACATATACATGCTGTCATCAGGCTGGAATGAATGTCCAGTTAAAGCAGAATCTGTTTCAATGGCATCCAGTGCAGCCTCCTGTGAAGTCTTGATGGCTGTCTCCAACAGAGAGAGTTGCTCATCATACTGTTACAAAACAGAAAATATGGATAAATTTAGTCAAAATTTTCAACTGACACTGAAGCAAACTTAAATCATTTTGATATTAAGGCTCATTTTATTCATTAAATATAGTGATAAGAAACTACAATAATAATGAAATAACATAGAATATAATTTTATTTAAGCCTAAAATGAGAAAAAGTTTCTCTTCCACCAGTTCAGTTTTGAATGGAAGTCAAACAATGAGATGTCTAGTAATTAAAATGTGAGAGAAAATTTCATGCAAAAAAATAAACATAAAAAAGGAAAGGGGTAAGATCTAACTGAAATTAAATATAGAGGCATGTAACTGATTGATTGAAGAAATAATATTTTTTATGTGAAAGTGAAGCAAATGAATAAAAATGTCGGAATACTATTTCCACGCGACAGTAATTTGCAAAAATTGAATTATTTTTAAAATTGATTTAAAGTTGAATTTGGTATTTAAAAAATTAAAAAAAAAAAAATTAATAACAAAGTCTTGGTACAGCTTTAACTTTTAATAATGAAAAAAAAAAAACAACAACTTCATATAGGAGTTTTTCTTAAACATATTTTTTCAAAGATGATCTAAATAATATAAATCAGGAGGTGCTTATTATCAACCAAGGTTAGGTTATAGGACACATAAGTCAGAGTATAATGTATAGAATTGAAGATTGATGAGATGTAGGTAATACATGATATTGAACTAATGGTGAGATTATTGATTCTACTCCACATTTCAAAGAACGTGCCACTTGGGGTGATAAAAGATTACAAAAAAATACTTTGATTGACACTGCATCAGGAAAAAATGAAAGATTGTAAAATGGATAAAACATTCCTCCTCATAAAACCCAATGCTTACTGAAACTAGGGGCCCTGTTAAATTGGCACAAGCAACTCATAGTTTCATGCGTCACAAAATAGAAATGACACGCCATAGTAAATTGCAAAGTTGTTAAAAGGAAGATATAAAATTCAGACCTAACCATAACTGTTACTCAGATTTTATAACTGAAATAAAAATTACAGTTGTACAATAAATTTTGAAAGAAAATAAATTCTTTTACAAAATTAATGGGTTTTTTAAAGTTTGCTGATACATGTAAAAAATTTTAGGTGATGGGTCGGATTCGCTTCGGAGAAAAACCTAAAAAGATATGTAATACCTTTCTTAAAGCAATCTGGCAGCATTCAACAATTTCTTTTGCCTTCTTTGTAAATTGGCTCTCAGCACCATTGAAAGTTTGACTGTTAGTGAGAAGGAGTTCAACATCTGCCTGGAAATCTTGCCTGTTACTGTATTTGTGAGTTTTTATATTCTGGAATCAAAACAAATACATAAATAAACCCTTTAAGAGATATTGGGATAAAAATATTTTAGAAAATATTAAGTTAAATGGGAAAAAGTTTTCTGAAGCTGACAATGAAAGCATTTATAGATAACTTTTTAAACTAAATAACCTTAAATCTGCAGTCTAAGTAAGATTAAAATATAATTTGCTTAGTTCAAAAATTATAATAAAATTTAAACTAAATAACACTAAATAACTTTAACATACTTTTTAAACTAAATAATCTTAAATCTGTAGTCTAAGTAAGCTTAAAATATAATTTGTTTAGTTCAAAAAGTATAAAAAAATTTAAACTAAATAACACTAAATAATTTTAACAAACATTTTAAACTAAATAATCTTAAATCTGCAGTTCAAGTAAGCTTAAAATATATTTTGTTTAGTTATATATTAAAATATATTTAAAAAAAAATGGTATTGTAAAAACTATTTGTATAAAATATCAGTTAAATAAAATGTTTCAAGTAATAAGGCCATTATTTTATCATTATTTTGATATAACACTTTATTTATTTAAAGTAGATGCAACTATGTAGTTTTTTGTGTTGTAGTCTTTTATCCAATAGAATTTGCCTTTAATTATTTAAAATCAAACCTGTTACATTAAAAGAAAAGTTTTCTAACACTTTTAAGTCACAAACGAGGCTTTTAATTCAAGTTAATTAATGTGTTCTTCATGCAGTTATTTTAGCATACTTTCTAAGCGGATCTTATGACTTAAAACAGTTTTTTCTTTTTCTGTTTTTCTAAATAAATGAGCAGCTTTGAAATATAAATGTTTTTCCTTTCACTATAATGCAGCCTAGACTAGAATCTAAAAATTGTATTTTTACTATAAATGTTTTTTATTAGAGAATATGATTATATAATTTAAGAAGTTAAATCAACCTGAAGTTCAAAATGAAATGCTAAAACAGGCAGAAAATATTGTTCTAAAATATTCATACTTTGACAGTAGAAGTTGAAAGTATATACATTTTTAGAACTTTGATTTTCTAAACTTCAGTTGATTAGTTGGCTTTGAAAAGAAACATGGAAAGCTATAGGTTACGACAGAAATGTAATAGTAAGTATCATATTCACAGTTTGATTGATTAATATTTCATTCATATTTGATTGATTCAACGATGGTTATAAAGAAAAAAATATACCTGCCATTCACTATATTTAACAACGGTCAGAGCAAGTCAAGAAAAATAATACAAATTCAGTGCCAAAGCATGGATATGAATCTAGTTCACCTCTGTTAGATATATTATTGGTTAGATAAAGACTATTAGAAAGAGGAAATAAACATCAAATTAAGTTTATACTTACTTTAATAATTGTGTCCAGATCAATGGGGTTTTTGATGACTGTGTAATACTCTTTAGCAAATTTCTTGCTGACCGGTTTATGAAATGGCCAAGACTCAGGAATTTTCTTCAGATCTTCCGAAACAATGGTCTCCAGAATAAAAGAGAAAGCAACCTGGTCATTGTCGTCTAGGAGAGGGTTGATCGCTTTCTCTAGCCTCATCAGCTTCTCCTCTTTATCTGCAAACCTCCTCAGGCATTGCTCCAACATTTTTTGAGCAGTTTGAGTCAGAGGACTTTTTGCTCCTATATAAACGTTAATTGAATTAGCTGAAATATTAATTCTATGTTAACCTATTGTTTGCCCTATTACTTAATAAAAAATTATACGAAATTCGCTCTACTTAGTACAGTTTTAACATTAATATGAAAATAACTGGTTTTTAGTGCAGTGTAGAACAGAGCAAATTTTGCTCCAGGATAGTGGGTAATTGCAGCCATTATAAGATTGGACAATTTTTCAAAAATTTAAAATTTTAAGCGATTAATTTTTTTTTTGACATTAGCAATTAAGATTCTTCCTTTGAAGCATTTCTCAAAATAAAATAGATATTACAAGATTTATTATATTACGAGATGAAAGTGAGAAAGAAAGAAATTTTCAGAACATTATTAAATATCCTAAGTAAAAAAAATATAAACATTGAAATGTCTTTTTTGAAAAAAAGTGGCAATCTTGTCGCAACTGGCATACAGTTTTTTTAATCTCCTTTTGGCCGATGGCGACTGTAAATTTTGCATTATACATAGTAGCACACAGTTTATAACTTGCATCGAATTTCACATGAACATAAAGGTCAACTCAAATAGGAAGGCAAAAAGTAGTAAAAGACAGTGAAGGGAAGAAGGCAATAAAATGCATTGTTTACTGTATTAGAATCAAAGGAAAATGAAATTAGGACAAGTATCCCCACAGGTCTTGTGCTTTTACATCTCTAAATGAAGGATTTGATTTCAAAACAGTTTTTTTTTTAAACTAAGTAAGCAAAACAAAAATAAACATAAAAATATCAATCATTAAAAATATTCAAATTTATCCTTATAACTTTTAAAATAATTCTTTCATCTACATACACCATAAAATTTTTTATTAGTACAAAAGAAAGTTTCTTTTAAAAAAAAATAATAGCATTTTTTAATAAAAATAATCTGTTGTAATTTAGATGCTTAGTTAGAATTGGTCAAAAAGTTTTAGATTTTTCTTCAAATTTTGTAAATGAACTTATTTTCAATTTATTTTTTTGTCTAGAAGACAGGGACCACATATTTGTCCCCTATATTGCAAAGTGTGCATTTTAATACAGAGGAACATTTCAAAATAAAATACAAGGTAATCAAAAAAGAATTATTAAAGTTACAATATGCAAATGAATAATGAATATAAATTTTTGTAATAAAATATAATTGATTGTCACAAGACAATATACCATTGTATATGCTGCTGTTTTCGACAATTTGATTGACATCCTGTAAAAACTCTTCCCTGCTCTTGTATTTCCTCTGATGAAGTTTTTCTCTCATAGACTGTAGATCCATTGGTCTCTGAACAATGCGATAGTAATCTGGAACATTTTTTGGACTGACAGGAAACCAAAACGGGAGAGTCTGGAAGAAAAAAATTAAAATAAATGGGACTGAAAAATGATTATTAATGACAAAAAAGATAAAATTGTGACTGCATTATTGCGATTGCAGATTACTCATAGGTCAAATGTTATTTTCCCTTGAAAGCCTTCCATATAAAAAACATGATAGCTGAATAAATTTCCATAAACGCCACAACATTTCAAGTCAAGGGTTATAAAATCTGCATCAATTGTTTCACTTTATATTATAACCGTTGTAGAACAGCCGACCCAATTTTGGGCTTACGACTACCAATGTCAACACCGTAGCCTTGTAATTTTGAATCCAATCCAGAAGACAAGGGAATTCCTTAATCGAGCAATGGGCGAAATTTACCTTTTCGGAGGACTTTTTGTTACAACAAACTAGCATTTGGGATACACGGAGAGGAAAATCACGAAAACCTCCCACGGTTAGCTTGACGGCAAAAGAACTCTGAAATATGAACCGTTTTCCACTGAGGACAGCTTACATCAGCACTGTGGCCAGTGTGAGCCGGGTGCTGAATTCGTATCGACCAGCCAATGTTGGGATTCGAACCCGGCACACCTTATTGGGAGGCGAACATTCTATCACCTGAGCTACCATGGCTGTGCTCTTGACGTCCAAATAGCTGAATTTTTTTTCTTCATATAATTACATATTTTCAAATATTTATTAAATATTAAACCGCCTACCATGACAGTAATTATGAATTAGTTTATCATAAAGAACATATAAATACTTTAAATTAATGTAATGGAAAAGCCTTAAAAATGCGCTTGCAAAAAATACAAATCATAATAAACAATTCATTTTCATGATCTACGTTGTTTTGTGAAGAACAGGCTTTATGCTTGGGTTTATGATATGAACAAATTCCTTTCGTTTTTCTGCTTGTGTGTAACACTTAAGGTATTCCCATCTATGGCTTTAGCTTTTTCAGCCTCAGTAAGTTTAGGCCTTGGCATCATTTTTTTTCTTTCTTCAACTCTAACTTTATGGACCGTGCAACTAACCTTTCAACTACGTAGCCTTGTAAATTTGAATCTAAAACAGAAGGTAAGAGAAATCCTGGATCAAGTATTGGAAGAAATTTGCTTGGTGGTGGACTTTTTATGGAACTAACCCGCATTTGAGTTACATGGAGAGGAAAACCACGAAAACCTCCCACGGTTAGCCTGATGACAAGGGGACTCTAACCCGTGATCTGTCTACCACTGAGGACATTTCCCGTCAACACTGTGGTCGGTGCAAGCCGGATACGAAATTCATATTGACCAGTCTTTGCTGGGATTCAAACCTGGGTTAAACTCGTTGGAAGGCAAACACTCTATCTCCTGAACCATCACGGCTCGACTTAAACAATTAACGATCAATATACTGCAGTACTGCCAACAGCACCCACCATCTGTTCAGGAATAAGAGAAGTATTTTTGCCATCAGTGGATATTTTATCACCAAATTATTGTTATTATTTTTTAAATTTCTTCAACAAATATGAAGAAATTTGAGAATATATAGGTAAACAGGAGATAGTTGTAAAATACAGGAGTTTTCGTTAAAATACAGGAGACTTAGCAAGTATGCCTGTGGTATGAATCAATATAGAGCTCTATAAAAATGAAACATTTTTAAAAAAACTGCGATTTTTAAACAAACTTCAACAAAATGAGGAGGCGACGATGTCAGGGGTGATTGTGAGCCCAAATCAAAATTCCGGAAAATTTCTCGAGTTTAAAAAAAAAACCAGTTTAAATTGTAAAATTAGAAAAAATTTAAACAAGGATTTTTTTCCTTTTCTCAATATTTCTTAGTTAAAAAATATTTTAAACTTTACACATACCTATACCATTTACACATACCTATGATGACCTGGAGAAGTAATTAAAATTTACAAATATGTCTTTCTTGAGTTTATGATTATAACAACTATTTACTGATAAAAAATGAATATTAATCACGAATATAAGCTTATAAAGTATCTCTCTGGCTCTCCCTTACAAACAAATAAAATAAACTGTGTTTTTAAGTTCCACCTTTGAAAATTTGATTTCCGGAAACTTTTGTGATCAATGATTTTTGAAACATCTGAACCTTCGATCGCCGGAAACTTCCGGATCACTGTTAGCGAAAATTCCGGAAATCCGGATTTTTTCCGGAGCACAATCAGCCCTGCGATGTTGTTGGAACAAGTTATAAGAATTAATTAATCCATGCAGAAAGTTTTTAATTGAGATTTCGTGTTCGCAGAAAGTTTCTCAAAGTTTTTAAAAGGATCACTATTTACAACAATATGAAAAAACTGATGACAAAGAAACAGAGTCCGGAGTAAATATTTCAATTGGAATTGTCTGCTGATGAAATTATGAACTTTTAAAATTTAGAAAAAACAATTTCTTAACCAGGATGCAACAAACTATACCTTGCTACATATTTTTATTCATTTATTTTTAAATTGTCTATTCATGTTATAATTATTAAACGAACACATTATCTTACTTCGGGTAAATCTCTCATTTCATTCAGCATGCTCTCCAGTATGATAGACAAGGCCACAACAGGGTCTGTTCTTTGGCGATTCACGAGCTTATGGGGTTTCTTCAAGTAGTCACAGTGCATGACGGTGCCTGCGCGTTTCCTCTTCTTGATGGCGACGGCCTCTTTGGGGAATTTCAAGACCAGAGACTTGCGACGAAGCTCATCAGCGTGCTTGATGAGCTGCTTCGACAGAACGACCTTAGTCTCGTCAACTTTCACCAAATGGTCGTCATCCAACCCGGCACGTTCCAGACTCTCCTCTTGTTCTTCTGTCATGGCTACTTGAACGGGAGGTATGGGAGCTGCAGGTTGGTACAAGGGGCATGTTTTGTTTGTTCGCATGTGGCCTATGGCACCACAAGCCCCACATTTTAGCTAGAAGAGAAAAGAAAATATAACACAATTTTAGGTTCCAAATTGTACAAAACCAGAAAAAGCTTGCAAAATCTGTTAGCAACCACATATAAAATCTGAAAATTTTACATTTCGAATTTAGGTTGACTACAAATACTAAAAAAAAATTCCTTGATTTCCTCCAGAAAATTTGCCCTTTAATTTTTCCACTTATTTATTCGTTTTATACAAAAAATAAATTCAAAAAACACCGATGATTTTAACTATTAAGGTTGAAAATAAACGATTAAAAAAATTTGCTTTAAAAGTCCATTTTTTCTTAAAACTATCAAACTTTCAATATCAAATAAATTCTTTTTCCCTGACTTTTTAGGTATTTGAGTTAAATTCTCGGATAATTTCCTGATTTTTTTTCAAATTTTGTAAGATCCTCTCATCTTCCTGTTCTATACCACTTCGAATCCACTTCGAATTTTAACTCTTTCCTTCAAAAAAAAAATTACATCTTTATAAAATAAAAAAAATTTATGCTCTTTATATTGATACAATGAAAATGGTTGAAAGGAATGAAAAAAAATATCTTGCTTACTTTTAACATTGGAGTTACTTTAATTTCTTTTTTTGGTTTCTTTTTTGGGGGCATATTTTTCTCCTTCTCAGCATTTCTTTTAAGTCTCCGAAGTTGTTCTTGAATTCTAAACAAAAATTATATATGATGTAAAACAATAAAAAACTTTATAAAACAAAGTAAATCAAATACAAAGACCTTAATCACTCAAATATCAGAAACTTATTGCCCCTGCTAGCTCCAGTTAGTAACCTGTAGCTTGTGTGCTGTTTTTTAATAATGATTTTAAGATATATATTCCCATATTCAATCCTTTAAAAATCAAAGGAAATATTCCTTAAAATAAATTACATTTTATTCTTAATGGATATGATATTTGATAACAATTGCTGATATGAAATATTTGTTTCACTCTCCTTATATTTGAGGGTGCCAATACTTATTTCCATTTGTGAAAATAAGTGTTTTTCTTTTCACATTTTAATTTATTTTATAACCAGCATTGAACAGCTGTCCCAAACTAAGTTTACAACTACCAGTGTTCAACTTTGAAGCCATGTAATTTTGAATCCAACTCAAAAGACAAGAGAACTCCTGGATCAAGCATCGAGACTGGTGGAGGACTTTTTGTTGGAACCAACCTGCATTTACATTAAATGGGCAAGAAAACCCCCAAAACATTTCACACTTAGCCTAGCCTGACAGAAAAAGAATTCTAACGCATGATTCGCCTATCACTGAGAATATTTTATGTAAGCATTGAGGTTGATGGGAGCTGAAAGCAGAACTCGTATCAATAGTATCGTAAGGAGTAATTAAAAACTAGGTGACTAATTTTGATGAATCAATAACAAAAAAAAGTAAATCTGATACTTAAAAATTAAGTAAGTACTCAAAAATTATAATTAATGAATCAATTTTCAACATATCAAGAATAAAGCACACATTATTCAATCAGTGAGTGAGATCAATGATTAACTTGTTAATTAGGCGTGGTTCAACTAACACTCTAACACATGCTCTTTAAAATATTGAGCGTTATTTTTTGAAAGCAAGCAAAAAAAAAATGTACCTTCGTCTTTCTTTTCTGATTTCTTCTTTTTGGTGCTCATCTAGTGTTGATGCGAACTGTTTTCTAAAATATTGAATAAATGATAAATATAATATTGATAAATAATGCAATACAAAAATAAAGTAAAATTTCGTTAAAAAAAATGATGAAAAACGAACATTAAGAACTTAAGTTGTTATTAAAAAAAAAAACATTTTGGTAATTAACAAAATTGTTACTATACTTAAGAGTCAACTTAACTTGAATAGAGAGAAAAAATATAGGTATTTAGGTATTGGTATAGGTAGTAGGTATAGGTAATATTATCTTAAGCTATTTAGTAATATTTTTTCTAGAAATATTTTCCATTTCCTTTAATGTCATAATTATCACGTAAAATATTAATCTGTTTGATTCTAGCAACTTCTAAGGTGAATAATATAAGAAAATATTTTTTTTCAGCATCAAGAAATATTTTGGTAATGAAAAAATGATAACCTAAGTCTGTAAACTAACCAAGATATAAATTTATTATATTTAAGATACTCTTTTGAAATATAANCAAACAAATAAAATAAACAGTGTTTTTAAGTTCCACCTTTGAAAATTTTATTTCCAGAAACTTTTGTGATCAAGGATTTTTTGAAACATCTGATCACGGTTAGCGAAAAATCCGGAAATCCGGATTTTTCCGGATTTTTTCCGGAGCACAATCAGCCCTGCTATACTTAAGAGTCAACTTAACTTGTATAGAGAGAAAAAATATAGGTACACTTAAAAACTCTTTTAAGAATTATAGAATCTTAAGCTATTTAGTAATATTTTTTCTAGAAACATTTTCCATTTCCTTTAATGTCATAATTATCACGTCAAATATTAATCTGTTTGATTCTAGCAACTTCTAAGGTGAATAATATAAGAAAATATTTTTTTTTCAGCATCAAGATATATTTTTTGTAATGAAAAAATTATAACCTTGAAGTCTGTAAACTAACCAAGATATAAATTTATTATATTTAAGATACTCTTTTGAAATATAAGTTAACTTCGCACAATTTTTGATACTGATGAAATAAAATTTATTTGTCTCCATCATTTATAAAATTTATTTTTGCATCTCAAAAATTTATCACGAAAATTTGATTCCAGCAACTTTAAAGGTGAATAATAAAAGAAAATATTTTTTTTCAGCATCAAGAAATATTTTGGTAATGAAAAAATGATAACCTAAGTCTGTAAACTAACCAAGATATAAATTTATTATATAAGATACTCTTTTGAAATATAAGTTAACTTCGCACAATTTTTGATACTGATGAAATAAAATTTATTTGTCTCCATCATTTATAAAATTTATTTTTGCATCTCAAAAATTTATCACGAAAATTTGATTCTAGAAACTTTAAAGGTGAATAATAAAAGAAAATATTTTTTTTCAGCATCAAGAAATATTTTGGTAATGAAAAAATGATAACCTTAAAGTCTGTGAACTAACCAAGATATAAAGTTATTATATTTAACATAGTATTTTGAAATATAAGTTAACTTAGCACAATTTTTGATGCCGATGAAATAAAATTTATTTGTCTTCATCTTTTATAAAATTTATTTTTGCATCTCGAAATTTTTTTATATTGAATGATAACTATGTTTTTTTCTCTTCTTTTTCTTTCAACTGAAATTGAATCACATTATTGAATTAAAATTTGTGAAATATTGGGAAAAAAAACTACAACAAGAAACAACCTATAAATTAATTTCATTACAAATCTTAATTTTACATAGAATTGTGCCAAAATATGATTTAATTTTTTTAAAAGAATTTATATTTTTATAAAAGATATAATAAAAAATTACACTCAATTTTCAAAAAATGCAACAGAATCAAATTTAACCAACCTCTCAAAGAAAGTTTAGAGAATCAAAATTATATTGTAAGTGACAACTAAATAAAATATTTGTATCAATATATTTTTTTAAAACTTATTAGAAACTTAAATATTGAGTATGAGCTACTAATTTAGATTATGAAAATTAATGAATAGTAAGAACAATTCTTAGAATAGCACTAAATGCATCACTTAAAAAAAACTCTAAAACTGAAGATAATTACATGAAGGCAGGATCTTTTGTTGTTCTGATGCGAACATATGTATCAATCACAGCAGGCCTACGCACAGTTTCAATGCGGACAAACTCTTTACCGTCAGGATTTTTGAAAGTTCTGTAGATTTTCAGTATTCTGCCATGCTGAGAAAAAAATTACAAGATATAAGCGGAATGAAATTTGTTTATAAGAGTTTGCTACTCAACAGACAAAACCAAATTTCCTGAGATTTCCAGAGCAAAATTTCCAAACATTTTGCAGAATTTTGTGATAAAATTAGAGTAATTTTAATTTTAATTTAAAAATTTACAAATATATTTATTGAGAATATAATAAATACGTAAAATGCTTTATTTTTTCAAGCTGAAATCATTTACTGTTTAGCACAAAAAAATTTACAGACATTAAAAAGATTAAATAAACAATTATAAAGTTTAATTCCTGCGTAATAAATTGAATATTAATTTTATTTAAAGTTCAATGAATTGATTTTAAGAAGGCTTGTTAATATAAAAAATTACTGATTCCAATTATTATTTAAAATAGTACTGATGATAAGAAAAATAAATTAGTGCACTCTAACAAATTTAATAAAATAATTGGTTTTAACAAAAATGTTTTAATGCCTAGCAAATAAAAGATTATAAGACACTTAGTGTTTAAAGGTTTTTTAATAATCATTACTAATTGCTAATACTCCAAGAAATTACATGTTTTCTAGTATTTTCAAATTCCCTTAAAATTTCAGGTTTACTCTATTTCCTGAGAGAGTGGCCACTTAGTAACAAAATTCCACATGTAATGGAAATTTAAAAAAAATAAATATATAAATAAAATAAAAAAAAATTAATAATAATTTAAAAAAAAAGGTTGGCTTTATGTTTAAAAAAATCCTATACAAAAATCTATTTTTACAAGCATAACAAGCATTTAAAAAAGACTTCTCAAACTGAAGATATCAGAAAAAAATATTCCACTTTAAAATGGTAATTTCATTTCGTCAAAACACTTTTAAAACCCACATTTAGTTTAAAAATTTTTAAGTCGAAAAACAATGTTGAATAGCAATGTAAGGACTCTCATGCAACTAGTTGAGCCATGATACTAAACACGGAAAAAGATGAATTTGAAATGATGGAATTACAATGATTAACAGAAATATTATTATGCAGAACACTAATTATATTTAACATCCTGTTGTTTATATATTTTTGAGTTACCAGAATTTTGTACTAAGAATGTTGAGCCACAAATTATTGCTCAAGAAAATTCTTTACTAAACCATAAATAAAATAGTGTTTTTTTTTCAATTCCTTAGTTTATAAACCTGATTGAATTAATAAAACAACTGTTTGGACAACCTTATCATAATAAGTTCGACTGTACTATTTTGGTGTAATTCAATGAACTTAAAAAAGTTGTTAGTACTGGTATTGAGGGGAAAAAAAAGGATTTAAATCCGATGCTCGCTTCGCAATCCGATGCTCGCTTTGCTCTTCCATTGGATACGTTCTTAACGTCTAGCTTTCGTATACTTTTTTGAACACTGAAGTTCCGAAAACTTTTCACTGTAGAAAATTCTAAACCTGTGCATTTCAATATTAATTTGAAATTGCAAACAGTTCACATATTTTTCTTAATCACACTATTTTAAATTTCAGTTGTTGAGAAAAGTAACTGTTGTAAGTTTTGTTTTAAAGTCTTTCCCACAAGAGGGCTAAAATCATGTGTTGTAAAACAATATGAAATAGTACTGAATGCTGGATGTAAGGCATCGGCTTCGATGAAGATAATTTTGTGAGAATTTCTTTGATAATTCGGTGAGAATTCACACGATTAGACATATGATGCTCACTACGTGCTCTTGCGCGCCGAAGCCAATCAATTAAAACGTATTAGCGTTTTATATAACATGGATTAGCCATATGATGCTCACTACGTGCTCTTGCGCGCCGAATCCAATCAATTAAAAATTAAAACTGTTGCCAGCGCGAGAAAAGAAATATCATCGGTTTTATTGATACATACGTACATATTAGCGTTTTATATAATACAGATAAAAAGTTCCTTACACAATTGGATCCTGTACTACCTAATGAAGCACTGTCATCCTCCCTTTCAAACTTTTGCTTGTCTAAAGAAAATATTGTAATCATAATTAGTAAGTACGCAGCAACATATTTCCAAATAAAAATTTTTTACTTTAAATTGAATTTCAGAAATATGACACAAAACTAAATTATAAAATACCATTGATTACATAATATAACAAAATATTTTTAAATGAGTAAATAGTTCCAGGCAAAGATACTAAAGGAAACAAGTAGCACTTAAATGCACACTTTAAAATTGTTCTCTGATTTATCTTTAATGTAAAAAAATTTTTTGATTTGATAATATTACAATAATTATTTTATTATAAGAAAATTAGGTCATATTATAATAATTATTTTGGTTCATTTCAACCAAACATTATAATTAACAACACTTCGAAGAAAGTGTGCATTATAAAAAATAAAAATAAGCATGTTATTACACTTATTTAAATGTATGAAAAAATAACTTAAATATAGTTCTTAATCGTAACAGAGAATGAGTAAAAGAACTGTGCATGAGAAGAAAGTTAGTCAAACAGTGACAATGTTTTGATGGTTGGTGGAAAGTCTTTTCCTTAAGAGTTAGTAAATTAAAAAAGATTCTTTGTTATGCTTAAAATAATTTATTCATTTTTGTTATCAAGACTAGCCTGTACAGGGTGCGTAGCAAAATCTCTCAACAAAAAATAAGCACCTTTTAAGCACTCAGAAATATTTTTAAGCACTATATAAGTAAACAAAATGCAAAATAATTTTCAAAGACTTTACATGATCATGATAAAATAAATAGTTTATGACAAAGAACTCTTTTCTTGATTACATTAGCCTTTATAAAATGATCAACAGATTTTTCAGTTCAATATCAGAGCGTGGAAAATGACGCCTGAAATAGAGAATATTTTGCAAAATGCAGCAGAGTTGCACATGAGAGTGAAATAATCTCACCGAACCTAGCTCATAATACATGGCAAAAATCGGCATGGTATAGAAAAAGGGAAAATTAAGCACTTCTTAAAAACACACAATGGAAAAAGCACCTTTAAGGGCTTTTAAAAAACGAAAATCCAAAATAAGCACCTTTAGGCACTTTTTAAAAACGCTACTCACCCTGCGCTAATAAAGTTTAAAATACGAAAGAACACAAATAATAATGCACAAAAAAGAACAAAACCATTTTCCGGCCACATGTGAAAAAAATGGACTTCATGTCCATTTTTGAGTCATTATTTGTGATTTATTTACATTATTTAGTTAAATTTAAAAAGGGATTGTAAGAACAAATCTTCTCTTACACTTATATAATTTTTTAGTGTAACAATATTTATTGCATATGTAAAAACATTTATTTTCATTTTTTGTTTATCTAAGAGCACATCAAGCAAACCATATTTTCTTTGTTTGCTTTTTTAAAGTAATAATTCAATTGTACAAACTTTAAAAATTAGAAATAAATCAAATAAAGCAACATTTAAAAGTAAATAATATTTCGTTAATATAAACGGAATAGATTCTTTAACACAAATATACCTTTATTTTTCCTTCTCTCATCATTAACACTGTCTTCTCCTAAAATTAGTTTTTGCAATTCTCGCCTTTCTGCTTCTTCACGCTCATGAGACAACTAAGAAAGAGGAATTAAATTCATAGTAATATTTTTATTTCATGAATATATACACATAGAAAAAGTTACTCATACATTTCATACAAAATATAGGTCAATCACCAAACTTAATTTTTAGTAGTATAATTACAGGATGTGTAGCCAAATTTTTCAACAAAAAAATAAGCACCTTTTAAGCACTTGGTTGGCAAGTCTTTGACAATTGACAGTTTTATCCGGATTTAACCGTCATGCAAAAAAAATAAAATAATAATAAATAAATAGTTTTGCAAGCATAGTTTTTGACAATTGTCGAAAATCATGAAATTTTGAATCATAAAACGAACGGCGTTTTCATATGCTGAGGACCGACGGTACGCCGAAACAGATTGGGGTTGAATTAATTGTGAAAACATTGAATAGAACAATATGAACAGTGACTTTTTGCATAATACTTGGCAAAAATCAACAGGGTAAAGGGAAAATTAAGACATTTTTAAAAACTCTGAATGAAAAAAGCACCTTTAAGGGCTTTTAAAAAACAATAATCGAAAATAAGCACCTTCAAGCACTTCTTAAAAACGCTACGCACTCTGAATTAATTAATATTATTAACCCTGTGGCAGAATTTTTAAGAGCTTCTGTGACAAAAATCTTTACCACTAATATCTTTCTTTAAGGTACTTTTAATAATAATAAACATATATATTACCCATTTAAAATAACAAAAGCTTTTGTGTTTACAAAAATATATATATAAAAATATACAAAAATATATAATTGCTTTTAATTGAACATGTAATAATTTTTTATTCTAATATTATGGGCGATATTCTTGCATTTTGTTGGGGGAGAACGCACAAATTGCTTCCTTCTTCGCATTTTGTAAGCAATCACAATATCATAATAAAAATAATAACTAAAAATCATGAAAATTTCATTGTAATCGTGAAATAATGACAAGAGCATGTGAAATATTTTTAATGTTAAGACTCACTTGAGAACTCGTCTTCTTATTAGAGAGCATATTTTCAATATTTTTACCCATTTCTTCAATATCAGAGTCCTCCTCTGAGCTCGAGTCTTCATCAGTAGATAACAATTCTTTAGAGGAAAGAACTCTAAAAAAATTAAATTAAGGGTGACTCATGAGTTAAAAAATTAAACTACAAGTGATTTAAACTAAAAAACGTTACAATTGTGAGAGTTTTGCATAAATAATAAGTAATTAAGTATGTTTTCATTAAACCAATAGTAAATAAAATCAATGCACTGTTTGAAAATAAAATTAAAGCTCTAATTTTAAGGATGTAAAAAAAAAACAATAATGTTATCTCATTTTAAAACTATGATTACCACTACTCATTTAATTTAAAATTGAAGTAGTTAACTAAAATTAAAATGTCTTCTTAAAACTGTAATAAACACTTTTCTACTTGATTAAATTCCACACAAACCTTTCCAATTCACTAGTTGCAAGACACGTAAACATGTTGCTAAATAGAAGCCTTGAGAATGATACAGAGTTGTAGAACTATTAATCATGAAAACCTTTGCTTCAAAAACTTTTTTATATTTGATAGTCTCATTATTGAACCATTCCAATTCTATGAATAACCCTCCTACAAATCCATTTTAACGATGATTAAATCTGAATCTTATCATACCGGATTCAGTTATAAAACCCCATAATTTTCGCTAATTTTACACAATAAGTGTATTTTGATATTATAACTAATTTGGAGTCTCAGCGAAATGAAAATTAAAAATTCTCGATTCAAAAGGATTGATTTAAATATAAATCCTTGATTTAAGTGAAAAAATAGAACTTTTTATATTGAAATTACAAAGAAGAGAAACTTTAAATTATACGATCTTATAGTGTTAGCCATTTAAAAACATGTTATTCATATAAAAACAGTAATTTTGAATAAACAGACAGAAGACTAATTTTACAATCATACATTTTTATTGGAAAAATAAATGCAGTTTGTTCTATTGAGCACAGAGCTGCGTATTATGTTAACTAACCACTAAATTTTACTTGCAATTTTATATTGGAGATTTTCGTAGGGAATTTGGTACAAGGATTCTTACTTCCGTTACACCGAGCAATAAAAAGGGAAGATTTGAACTCTCTAGACGAGCTTGCCAATTAGCTTCAAATCTCTTCCAAAAAAAATTCGTTAAATAATCAATATTTCCAAGAAAAATTGCCTTTAACTCTAAAAATAATCTTTCATTGGAAATTGAATGTTTATGACCCTAAGTGAGGGTATAAGAAAATCTGCAATTTCTAATTAATAAGAGATAATTTGTATTATTTTTCACAATTTTGCCCTTTAATTTTTCATAATTTCTCAATTTTTTCATATATTTTATGTGTGAAAAATAGTCGACAAATTAATATTAATTGATAATGTAGTTGATATTGTAAATATCTTGTGAACTCTATATTTCTATTTCAATGAATAAGCAGAATATTTCTAGAACATTTCTTAAAGTTAAATTACAGAAGACTGCTTTTATGGCAATCTAACCAATCAATGAAAAATTAGTAAAACCTATGAGACTTCTATTAATAAAATTATATAAATAATAAGTTTATAAAAATAATTAAAAAAAAAAGGAAAATTACTTTATCAAAAGTAATTAAGAAAATACTATAAATACTACAAAGTTTATATCACAATCTGAGTTTTAGAATAGTTAAAAAATTATCACTTTAGAAACTTTATTCTGAAAACATCAAATTCAAAGATTTTTTCTTTAAAGAAAAGTTTAAATACTGATAAAAATTTCCAGAAATAATATGTAAAATTATAAATCTTAGATAATTTTTTTAAAAAAAAGAATAAAGTAATATTTATAAGTAATAGAGAATTAATAGTTACCTATTTTGTAAATCAAAAATGCGTTGACAATCTTCTTTATAACGCTCTTGATGTTCAGCAATACTGAAGCGATTTCCACGAGCAAATTTACTCATAGCTAAAAAAATAATAATGTTGCTTAGTTTTTAACTAAAATAATGATTTATTTTTTCTCTTTTAAGAGAAATAATTTTTTTAGGTAACAAAGAATAATATTCCTTACAAAGCATTTAGCCGTAGAACAAGAGTTAGTACTCAGAATTGCAAAGAACTTCTTTTTCAGGCAAAAACACTGATAAACTTAACAAGGTAATGACACAACATTAGATACAGCAATATGCTATAACTGCATTATGTTTCTTTTTTGCATCTTGGATTGAATTGTTAGAATGCATTAAAGTGAAAATGACTTTTTTTCTTTGAAAGGTAAAAATAGAAAGAAAAAAAAGAGAATTTCACTAGTTTAAAAGAATTTTTTTTAGATTGTAAACAATTATAGATAAATGGTACACAAATGATAAGTAAAATGTATTTCTTTTTCAGAACGATAAATATAAACGTAACACCACTATACTCAATATTTTAACAAGAACAAGTTAATTTTTTTTCCTTAAAAAATTAACAAATGCATAATTTACAGAAACTGTTTTCTTGAACTTAAGTTTTTATTTCTGTATATAAGAAGAATTGTATTGAATTATTAGAATACCTTCTTCTCCAGCTTTTGCTTGTTCAGTAGATAATGTGCGGACAACATCAATTACTTCCCATCGAGATAGTTTTTTTATCTACAAAAAAGATAAAAAAACTTTTAAGAAATAGATATGTAGTTAGTTAAAATAATTATTAACAATAAACAACAATTAACAATTCAAGTTCATTTGTCTAAAAACAAATTTAAAACACATGAATATATTTTTTTAACATGCAATAATTAATTTATTTCATAAAAAATATAAATCGAAAGAAGTCTTAAAATAAATTTTTTGGTAGTGAGGGTATAGAAATGCAATACAGCAAGTTTTTTTTTCAAAATTTCTTAGATTAACGATAATTATTTTAAAACAAAGAAGTTGTATTGTTATTACTTTCAGAATTATATTAAGATCTATGTTTGACAGGAGCTTAAATAATATACATAAATGTTTTTGTATAATAAATGTAACTTGTACCATTATAATCGTAATAAGCTCAGTTGACAATAATAAAATGCTTGAATTTATATTGCCACATAAGCTTTCTTACTAGGGTTTTTATTAAAATATAAATTATTTAAATTTCTAATGGATAATTAAATGTATTGAATAAGTGTAACTATGTAGTAAACATTCCATTTGATAATGGATTACAAATAATATTAAATAATTTTAATGTAATAAATATTAAATAATTTTAATATTATTTACTTTACTTGGTGCAGTAAAGTTATGTAAAATGCATGACAAAACACTTAAAATAAACATTTTAAATAATATTAAAGTAAAGTGTTACCTCATCTTCAGGGACATTAAATTTCCTAAGAAGCTGCTTGGCATTGCTCAAGGATAAACGTCTTAAATCAGCATCAGTTCCAGTCACAGTTTTCTTTGCAGGAGTTTGATTTTGCATTTCTTCCTACAAATACATCAAAGTTTATAAAGAAATATTTTTATTATAAAATTTACTTTACACAATATTTTTAAAACATATAATATAATAATTTTAGATCAATTTGGTAAGGGAAAAATTCTGCATAGAATTTAAGAGTATGATTACTCTTATTTTTTTCGTGTTTTTTCAATTCACAAATGCAACTATAGAATTAGCATTGTGGAAAAGGAAGTAAAAGATTGTGTTGCTTTTCTTCCTTCTCATGCACAATTTAAGACAAAAAATTTTTTAAAACATCAAAAAAGCATTCTTTGTTAACTTAAAACAGAAAATTCAACGATATTAAATCAACTATTTTAAAATTCTTGTTTGTTGAAAAAGCTGAACGAAGTTCAATTAATGGACTGTTAAAATTTAATACTTTTAATAAATCGTTAATTTTTTCAAAATTATTATTTTATACTTCAGTGTTATTAAAAATTCCTTGAAAACAAAAGTACGTTAAGAAGACCAAAATAAATCAACTTAAAATAAAAAAAATGGCAACAATTTACGTTAAAGATATCGTTAGTTCTAAGGACTAGCTGTTGTTGCCGACTTATGTTACACTAAAGCTGCACAATGGCTAGTGGCGTTGGTCTGGGGAACATTCATGAAAATGATCTGAAGGCATGCCATCACAATTTTGCTCCTATGTTTCGGCAACTCAAAGGCATGCGAGAGAAATCAAGCACTTCCCAGTAGAACAATTTGACACGGACCAATACCGCACACCCTCGGTCCCTTTAAGCTGATCAAAGTGGTCACCCACCTGCACACTGACCACAGTCAGTGATGCTTCACTTCGGTGTTCTACAAGGAACTCTGTCTTAATGATCAGTCTACTGCGGAACTCTCAGGACTAGCAGTTCAGATAAAGAATACTAAATTCAAGATTTAATATTATTTAAAGGCGAAACAGTATAATAATTTAGTATGATGAACAAACCTCTCCATACTTTAATAAAATGATTTTCTAATAAAACAAGCTTGATCTGACTCTTGACTTAGTTTCTTTGTTTTTTTGAGTTCCCTTCAATTACAAGAACATGAAGGCAAGTATTGTTATCTTACATTCATTACATGTTATCTTACATTCATTATATGTTATCTTACATTTATTATGATATTTACTTTTTCTATACTGATTATAGAAAACGGTTTTAGTAAAGATAAATACAATAAGGATATGAATACCTTTGATTGTTGTGGCTTGTTAGGTATTCTAACATATGAAAATCCTTCTCCACAGCCAGTAGGGTCAACAACGCCACTCAACTGTAAAAGGCACTTTCCTTTCATTGCAGATATAAATGCTCTAGTAGTGTTCCAGGGGGCTGCTTTTACCTGAAAAAAAATTAATCACACATTTTTTTTAAAAAATTTTATTATAAAATTTAAAAAATAAATAAATTAATGCAATTTAAAAATGTTTGGCAGCATTAGTTTAGGGTTACAGAAGTGAAAGTTATTGCAGTTGACTGCAAATTACATAAAGTGACAGATAATAAATCTAACTTTTTTATCAAGCATCAACATGTTATGGGTATGCTCATAGAGGTATCATGTTGGTTAATTAGCGAAAAATTATTCCTCAAGGATATTGCATTTTTTGATTTTTATGCATAGTAAAATTTTATAAAAACTCAGTGTGGGACAACAATTTATAAATTTCTATTATTAATTAGCTAGCTTGCTTAAATAAAAAGAAATTAAATTTATGCAAATAAAATAACCTCATCATCCATTTTCATTTGCATATCTTCATCATTATCATCTTCAGGGGCAAATAGGGATTTTTCTCCATAGCCAGCATCCTAAAATAACAAAAATACAGTATATTAATTATTTATTACAAGACTACCATTTCAACAGGGTACACAGAAAATTTTTTTTCACCAAAAAATAAGAACTTTTTCAAAGATATTTTTAAGCCTTTTTCTTAAAAAAATAATAATCATAAATTGGATATACAGTGTAATAAATATTTTTTTCCTATTGTTGAAACTTCTCAGGTAATTTCAAAAAATAAACAAAGTGCAAAATTTTTTTCCAAGATTTTACATAATCATGATAAAATAACTAGTTTCTGGAATAGAACTCTATTCTTGATTTTATAATCCTTTTCATTGATTTTATTTATTTTAACTGTGCATACAAAATTTTTATGCACAATTTTTAATGTGTTTAATAAAAAGCTGTTCATTCTATTTTTTAAATTATTAATCATTTGATTAAATTATTTATAAATGTATACTTAACAAAAAACATTTACAAGATTAAAGATCATACTGAATTGATAAAGATTTGTAGAGAATTAAGCACAATAAAAAAACCTTAATAAATTCGTATTACAAATGTAAATAAGTGAATGATCTATTAAACTTTATTAAAATTTAAAATGATAAACAAACTATGAAAAGTTTAAAAATTTTTTTTAAATAATTTTGAAATGAAAATACTGTAAGTATTAATTCTACACATTTTTGGGTAGATGTTAATTATTATATAGACTCCACAGTGAATATATATATTTAACAAAACTGAGATTATAAAATTTTCAATTTTCATTTTCATTTAAATAAAATGATAAAGAGATATTTATATTATTTTGAAGCAACAAATCTGAATCACACAAGACCTATAACTGCATCTGCTAAATGTTAAAATAATGAAAAACCTCTTAACTAACACTTTTTTAACTTTATACTCTTACCTTTAAAATTATACAGTGCTTTTTCTATTTCATTAAAATAATTTAAGAATACTGAAAATATCAGTAAGAAATACAGTAAAACAATACTACAATTAAAACCAAAAATATTTCCTACAATTAGTATTTTATGCAATTAATAAACTTTTTTGAAAACATCCAATGAAAAAGCACTTTTAAGCAATATGTTTTGATATTTTATTTAATAACTTATGTCCGTCGTTGAACAGTCAACCCAATTTTAGGTTTATGATTACTAATAATAAACTCTGTAGTCTTGTAATTTTGAACCAATCCAGAAGACAAGGAAACTCCTGGATCAGTACCCCCCGAAGTATGATTTTTTAAGGGAACATGGAGGACTTTGACTCGACAAATTTAACGTGCATAAGCCATAATTTACTACACGGGGAGTCATTGGCCGGTGGGGATCGAACCCACGAACTCTTGGACATGGGCTCGGTGCCCCTCCAACCAGGCTATCCCGGCCTTAAGCAATATGTTTATCATTACAAATAGTAAATATGCTTATCATTAGAATAAAATACATACTTTCAACCTCTGTTCAGCAGCAAGCATTCCATAATATGCACAACACTGTTCAGGTGAAACCATTGCTCTTATTTCATCCTCAGTTGGAAGACGAAATTCACTTTTCAAAACCCACCAATTAGAATCAGTACCTGAAAAAAAGAATATCAAAAATTATAAATTTCTATAAAAAAAAATTCTTTAGATGATATCTCAAAAATTGAAAATAAATAAATCAGAGGAAAGATAGTCTCTAACACTCTATTTACATGGGGACTGGAAAAAGGTGTCAGAAAGCAGTCTTCTGACGTAAATTAAAAAGGCTTGTTTAATTTACACCATTTCTAATATTAAGAACCCCCACCTTGCAAGGATTAGCAAAAATAACCACTTAATACAACGAGTTAATCACCATGCACCCGGAATTCTGCTTTCTTGAAATTGTCGACTTATAGCCTGAAAGCAGTTTAATCAGAGGGGAAAAATTAGATTTTTGTTCATCTTGTGATGTCACAAGCCTGATGTCAGGCCCTGTGTGAATGGGGCGTTAGTTGGAAAAATAATAATTTGTGATATTAAATAAACAATAAATTCTCTGTTTATTTGATCTTACTTAGAACTTTCATTACATATTTCTATTATTACAACAGCACCTTCTACTGAGGAACGCTTTAATTAGTTAGTTAAACATCAATTCTCCTGCTAGCCAGTTGTGGCAGCTAGATTGTTAATTGGAGCTTACTAAGATGCAAGGCAACTATTTGTTGTATATATGTATGTATTTAATAGTTAAAATTTCATAGCCATTACTTACTATATTTGTCGTGAATTTGCAATAGATAACCAGCGTCTTTGGATACATATAAACGTTTTTAAAATTTGTATAAATAGTCTTTTTACCCATTTAGAATTTTGCAAACTTATTAGGATTATAGACAAAACAATAATTTCAAAAAAGAAAAGAATTACATTTGAAATGAAGGTTTTTAGTTTGAACTGATTTGTCACTTGTCACAAGAAAATGCACCAGTGTAATTTTAAAGGGTCAGTATTATTTTTATTTCCTTCTAAGAAGGGAAAAAACTCAAAGGCTAAACTCAAAACTTCTTTTTCATGTCCCCAGTACCATTTATGCCATATTTGACGTCCTATTATGCATTAGCAGATTTGCCAAATAAGTTTTCCTTTGTATTCATAAATTCTAAAATCAAATTCATTTAAGTAAGTTAAAAAGTTAATTAGAAAGAGAAGTAAATAACATGCAAGGGTCTGTTTAGAAGAAATTTAGGTCCGTTAACGGACCCTTCACAAAATGATTTATCTTTTAATCGGACCCTTCACAAATTTGCTTATCTTCATTATTGTTTCGTTAATTGAATAAACCCTTCCCAGGGCAAAAAACAAGAAAGATGGATGTAAACACAAATTAAGTTTCGACAGATCATTCTTCCATTAATCGTCCGAAATGAATATTCTGCGTTCAGCAGTATAGGCTAAATACCAAATATTTGTACGTTGTACCTCTAATTTAGAAGCAGCAATTGCTGTTTATTTTTGAAACTGTAATTTTTTTAATTATAATTTTACAGTACTGAGCATAATCTTGTATTGATTTACAATTTAAAAACTCCTTGAAAAAGTTTTTTGCACAAATTGCCCTATTTGCACAAATTCATAAAAGCAGGACCCTGTTTGAAAGAATGTGAGTAATTTTTTTACAATTTCACAAAAACTGGATCTTTCACAAAATGTCAGGACAGACCCCTGCATTAGTACATGCATTAAGTAAAAAAAAAATAATCAACCAAACCTGTTCGTTTGAAATTGGCACAGAGTTTCAACCGCTTTCTTATGCTGCTTTCTGAGTGAGAAGGAAATGCTTTTTTAATGTCTTCCATTTTGATACGACGGGGATTATCTTTGCTATTCCAAAATAGACGATAAATAAAAACCTATAAAAAAAGTGAAAAATATCATAATTTTGAATGAAATAATCAAGATTTCAAGCAAAATTTGAAGCACAGAATTCAAGTAGACTTAATTTAAGTTAGTACTCATGCATTCACCATATAGAAAACACAAAAGTCTAATTAGATTAGCAATCAAAAGGATAAAATTTTATTAATTAATTAAATGTAGATATAGAGAGAATACTTTATAATACTTTACATGAATTATAATACTTTATATGAGCATGAAATGAAGTATTGGGTAAAATATGATTTTTTTTAATACTATCAAAATTNTGGGTAAAATATGATTTTTTTTTTAATACCATCAAAATTACAGAGGAAACGAAATCCTATTTTCTGCAAATGCCAATAATATTGTGTTCTGTCAAAAAAAATTTAGGATTTTTCTCTTTATAGAAAAATTGGGTTTACCTATGATCAAATATGATGTGTATCAATTAAAAGAAGGCAATGCAAGAAAAAAGGAGCTGATTATACACACACATGATCAAGCATGAGATTTAAAAATAAAAAAAGTGAAATTAAAAAAAAATAATGTGTTTAAAAAATAATTTTGAGAAGCTGATTTTGTGTCAAATAAAATTCTGTAAATTATTTAAAATAATAATTTGAACTTTCAACAAGAGAATAATTGTTCAAATAAATTATTTTAAAATATGCATTAATGCTCCTAAAAAATAAAATGTTCAGAACAAACACAAAAACAAGGAATATCAGGACAAAAAGCTAAAAGTTAGGACCAATAAGGACAAAATATTTCTTATCCTGAAAAATTAAGAATATTAGAACAACTACGAATCTTACCAAATTTTTTTTTAATAAAACGTTCAAACTAAATTTTTTCCAAGCATTTGGAAAAAATCTTTAGCTAAAAATTAAAAAACTTAGCAGGCCCGCTTAATGAGAAATAAATTGAACTAAACTAAAAAATTAAAAGTTTGAATAAAAATTTTAGATAAAATATGGAGGAAAAAATTAAAGTAATAAATAAACATAATTTATATAATTCCTATATCATAATTTAGATAAAATGCAAAAACTAAAGTAACACAAAGCATACATGTTTTGAAAAAATATTAAACAGTAGTTATAACTGAAAAAAATAATTGTCAAAACAAACTAAAAACTTCTAAAACTATTTAAAAAAGTTTTTGATTTTCTTTTTTACTTAAAAAATCATATGTTGCACAGAAATTAAATTTTAAGTGGGCTAATATTAAATCAAGTTTTTTTTTTCCTTTTGAAATAATAAAAAATGATTAGTACTTTACCTGTAAAAAGTCGCGGATAAAATTGTTAGCCTTCTTTGAGCTAGGTCCTGGTACTTCAAACAGTGGTAATTCTTGGCCAACAGTAAAAATAGACTCAACTTCTCTAACAAAATAACTGGAAAAAAATTAAAACTATTATTAAAAGTTAAAAATTTTTTTTTAACAATTTTGCTATACACAAAGATTACGCATGGTTGGTTGACCATGCAAAGCTAAGAACAGATGGAGTTAGTTAGATGGAGATACCGACAAGACTTTCGAATTAGTACTTCTGATTGATTTTTAATCCTAAGCTTGGAAAAGCATGCCATTCAGTATTATTACACTAGTAGTATTCGCAATATCACGTGTTCTTTCAATTTAACTTTCAACGAAACAAATAACAAATGAATTCAAAGATCCAGCAAGCATGTTATGATGCCACCCAAAAAATAACATATGGAGATATATTTACATAATTTTAGCCAAATAAGGGATGAAACTCAAAATATGGCAAACTTTACACTTTATTTATATTGTGATATTAGTTTTCTTAAATTCGTTTTAGGCTCATGACCATTTAGAATTTACAAATTACAGATAATTCCTTATAAATGGTAAAATTTCACGTGAATTTAAACAAAATTCACAATAATAAAACTTCCTAGAATATTAAGCCTGTTCACACATTGCATCACTCAATGTTTTAGGCACACAACCATTTAAAATTTATAAATTGCAGATGACTCTTATGAATGGTAAAATTTCACATGAATTTGAATGAAATTCACAATAATAAAACTTCCTAGAATATTAAGTCTGTTCACACATTGCCTCACTCAATGTTTTAGGCACACAACCATTTAAAATTTATAAATTACAGATGACTCTTACGAATGGTAAAATTTCACCTGGATTTGAATGAAATTCACAATAATAAAACTTCCTAGAATATTAAGCCTGTTCACACATTGCCTCACTCAATGTTTTAGACACACAACCATTTAAAATTTATAAATTACAGATGACTCTCATGAATGGCAAAATGTCACATGAATTTGAACAAAATTCACAAAAATAAAACTTCCAAGAATATTAAGCCAGTTCACGCATCGCCTCGTTAGCATAACATAAGCGGATGGATACACCAGAAGTTTTCTAAACTTCTTCTGATTTTAGGAAGCTTGTTATTGTTTACATTCAGCCAACCCTCCATTAATCTAACAAGAAATTGAAATTTTAATTATTTAAAGTTGTAACTATTAAGATTTACAACAGGTATAACATCTGATAATTTAGTATAATAATAACAATAATGGTAAAAAAAAGTCATTTAATGGTTATATCTCAATTTTAGTTTCAATATGGATAAAGTAAATAAAAACAACTCACTGCTGTCTTGAACGTATTATAACAAAATCTGTATCAGGAAATTCATGTTCATAGATAGGAGAACGGAATAAATTGTTTTCAAAGGATTGTAGACTTTGACCAGGTGCTAAAGCACCCAAAAAGGGTGAAGTATGGGCATAAGCGGTTTCTCCAAATTTATATTCAGGAGCGCCACTGTCTTTTCCAGGTTTCTGCAAATTATTCAGAAATATAATCTTTTCTAGTGAAATAATTTAAAAATTAAAAACTGTAATCTTACTTAATCATAAATTAAGCATTTGCATTTAACGAAACATAAAATTATATGTGTAATCATAAAATAAGCATTTAACTATATAAACATTTAAAAATTATAAATTTATGTAATGGAAATACGAAGCGTTTTCGAAAAGCAAAGATACAAGGCCACATACTCTCTTGAAAAAATCTGAATTGATTAAACATCATTACAAATTATTTACTGGTACATGTCTTATTTTTTGACATAGTTATTGCTGTTGCCAAAGCATTTGTAAAGTCCAGGTACGAGCCTTTGTCAGTCATAGAACTTTGCCACTGTTATCGGAATAACTTCAGTTTTGATCACATCATCATCATGAAAGTTTTGCTCTGCAACATATTTTTTCAGGTCAAGGAATAGGTGAAAGTCAGTGGGTGCAAGGTCCGGGCTGTATGGTAGATGATCTAAAATTTTTCATTTATAACTATTCAGTAGTGCTTTGGTTTGAAGCCCTGTGGGAGGACAAGTGTTTCTCTGCTTGTCAACAACTCTTACGTTTAACCCGTCTCATCACCAGTCACAATGTGATTAAAAAACTTATCATCTGCTTCTGCATAATATGTAAGGAAGTCAAGTGTGTAGCTGATCCCTTTCCTTTAAGTTCTTCCATTATCATTTTTGGAAACTATCAAACACACAATTTCCAGTACCCTAAGGTAATAGTCACTGCTTTATAAAGTTATCATAGACATGTTTGGTATGATTTTAAGCAAATCTTTTAATATGAAATGTCTATTTGCTCAAATTGTTTCCTCTGTTCTTCAAAACAGGGCATCAGTGATCACAGATGGCTTATCTGTTCTGATTTCGTCATGAACATCAGTCCTATCTTCAGAGAAAACAAGACACCAATTTGTTAAATTTTGTCTGTTTCCATAGACAGAAAGAATTTAATTGTGAATATCCAACGGACCTTTTGCATGAAGAAAGAGCATTACAGAATCCACTTCACATCCGACAGATTCTGAATTAATACAGACATGATAAAGATAGGCTGCTCAAACAAGGCTCAACGTATAATGACATCAAGGGAAAAGTAAACTGTTTAAAATTACAATTAGTGTTGCCAATGGACTCACAGAAACTTTTCCTTTGCTGATGTCGGTGAAGTATCTTTACTTTCCAAAAATGATTCGAAATAATACTAAAAAATATTAATTTATGGAATGGAAATAATTCTCAGTAATAATAATTAGTAAATAATTAATGAGAAATTAATGAAAATTAAAAATAATAAAAGGAAATTAATTTCAGGCTTCTATTTAAATCCAGAAAGTAAAGTCTCTCAAAGATTTGCTAAGAATGCATCAAATTTTTACTCTTCTAAAACCAATAAGAACAAGTGGAGAACAATGTTTTATGCTTCTAATGATAAAAAACTAAGCATCAAATAAGTTAAATAAAATATGAACATTAAACCACACCACAATAATTGAAATGACACAATTTTTAGGCAAGGCCTGATATTTTTTAGCCAACAATTTTAGGTAAATGGTAATAATAATAATAATAAAAAGAATCTACTAAATTTATTTTTCTTAATAACCTTTTAAATCCTCTGTTTTTTAAATTAGTAAATAAATTTAAATTACTAAATTAAAAAAAAAATTAAAAATATAATAATAATGGATAATATTGTATTGCCAACTATTAATAAAAGTTTTATAAAAATTTTTTAATAAGTTAAATTATTAAATTATATTGCAAAATATTTTAACAAAAATTATTGTAAAAATACTAATATTTTTTGTTTTAAATTTGGCACAACTTTACAAATTCATGGATTTCTTAAGCATGTCTACAAGCGATTAAAAATATTTTATTATTTTTTCACATAAAAAAAAAGAAGTTAATTTCACTCAAAAGTGTTTTAGTAATGTTCCAGTTGATTTTATGACATTTACTAACACAAAATAAGGCGTTAAAGTTTTAATAAAAAAAACTTACACATTTGTAGTTGTTCCTTATTTTTGTATTTTGTAATTATAATGGATAATATAGTATCGCCAACTATTTATAAAATTTTTTTAATAAGTCAAATAATTAAATTATATTGGGGAATTAAAAAAATATTATAAAAATACTAATATATATATATTTTTTTAATTTGGCACAACTTTACAAATTCATAGATTTTTTTAGCATGTCTATAAGCAGTTAAACTTTTTTTATTATTTTCTCACATAAGAAAAGTTAATTTCATCCAAAAGTGTTTTAGTAATGTTCCAGTTGATTTTATGACATTTATTAACACAAAATAAGATGTTAAAGTTCTAATAAAAAACTTACACGCTTGTAGTAGTTTCTTATTTTTGTAGCCATTCCAACTTGTGAAAGCAAAGGAGGGTGTTCTTCAGAATACTCTGCCAAAATCAGTTCTCCGTCTCTCCCTGTCAAATCCTCTGCTGTCCTCATAAAAAACATTTCCCCTCCACCAGACGCTTCTCTCTCTTGCTCTCGCATCTAATCAAGAAACAAAAAAATATAATCAGAGCCCATTTTGTTACACTCTGAAAATAAATGAGCAAATTTGATTTTTCTACTTTATATTTTTAACACGGTGCGTAGCCAAATTTTTCAACAAAAAATAAGCACTTTTCAAGCACTCAAAAAATATTTTTAAGCACTTTGAAAAATATCATAATTAGAGAGGGTTGACAAGTTTTATCCGGTTTTATTTACAGTGACGCAGACGAGGGCGCGTCACAAACAATGAAATTAACAAGAGAAATGAAATTTTATATCACTAATAGAGAAAAAAATTTGACAACGTTTAGTTGGTCCCCGTAATCAGCAAAAATTCGAGAGATTTTTCGATTCTAGTACAGGGGGCGAAATATGAAGTCTGGAATTGAGAATCTCTTGCAAAATGCAGCAAAAATTGAGAATCTCTTGCAAATTGCACATGAGAGTTAAAAATCTTTACCACTGAATCCAGCTCAGTATACGCAAGTGCAGACCCGCAAGTATTTCATCAAACATGTAAAACAAATGGTGTTTTCATACACTACAGACAAGCAGTAAGCCGAAATATATTAGGGTTGAATTAATTGTGAAAACGTTGAATAGGACAGTGTCTTTTTGCATAATTTGTGGCGAAAATCAACATGGTAAAAAAAAATCACATCTCGGAAATTAAGCACTTTTTAAAACACCCATGGAAAAAGTCCCTTTAAGGGCTTTTAAGAAACGAAAATCGAAAATAAGCACCTTTAAGCACTTTTTAAAAACGGTACTCTTTAACTTTTAATTTACATTTAAAATTTAATCATTGATCATTAATTTTTATAGTTTACATGAACATATACATTACTATTAATTTCAAAATCTACTTTTAAGATTAATTTCAAATAAAGTAATAAGTACAGTCAATGTAAACGCAATATATTAATATATTTTTTAAATTAAAAAATCGTAATAAATTGTAATCATTTTGAGATAAGCTACAACATATGATATTAGTTTATTATATGATATTGTTAAAAAATTATTTAAAGAAAATTAATAGTATCACTTTCAATAAGTATTCCAAGTTTTTTATTTATTTACATTTTTATGTAGGTAAGCATAATGTATAACAAATCATTTGGTTATAATATGTGAAAACTTGTTTTAATATTATATTGCTTATAAAAAAATATTATTTTAAGTAAAAATATTGTAACGTAACAGCGAGACAACTGAGATAAAAGCATCAATTCCTCCAGAGGTAATGCTAAAATGATGTTGCTTGAGAGACACACACAAGAAGTGATGCTCTTTTTTGTGTAGTTGAAAAAGAGAGTTCTTTTCTGAGAAGAGATATTTTTTTGGGTAATATTTTGCGATTTTTCGTGTGAATGTTTAAATAAATTGTTTGGTACAACTCACGTCTTATTTCTGGTTGTTGCGACACAAAAATATTATTTTAAAGTTTACTTGTACAATAGGAAACGATTGGAAATGACTTAAGCATTAAGTATTCAAGTCATTTATTAATTTATATTTTTACATTTCTAAGCATAATGCACTTATTGATTTATAATATGTGAAAATTTGTTTTAATACTAAATCTCTTACAGAAAATCTTGAAGTTTTTTTATGCAAAAGTAAACAATAACATTTAAAAAGAAAAATTTAAAATGTCATTAAAAAGATAATTTTTTTATCAATTTAATTCAACCTTCACAAATAGTGGAAGTAGTAGTATAATTTTGAGTAAAGTCATAATTTAATGTCACTAATTTTGTTTATTTTATATAACGACGAGACCATTACTATTAATTTCAAAATTATTTTTCTTTTGGGATAGAAAAATACTATAATCTTTTATTACATTAAAATAATAGAAAATATGAGTTAACTGTTTTCATCAGGGCTATTTGAAAAAAAAAAAAACAAAACATTATAGGTTTTAGTAAGAAAAAGCAACATTTTCCAATAATTCTCAAGCACTTTATTTTATTTATTTATTTGTAGCCAAAATCAAATATTCTGATTATTATAGGTTCTATGGTTCTTCTTAAATATTAGGAAGCATATTTCTAACATTAATTAAAATTGCAAAAACCTAAACATATACAGTAGAAGATTTGGGTAACACCATCCCATGAACCAGCAATTCTCTATAAACTGCATTATTTCTAAAGCAAACCAAAATTGATAAAATTGTTAGTTATTTGTTCTTATGCTCAGCAAATAATTATACTTAATAATTTTTCTGTAAATCATAAATACTCCAACTATCTTAAACTATTTTTGTTGAAAAAATATTTTAAAGTATTAATTTTGATCTGTTTCATATATATATACATATAAACACGAAGAATAAAATATAATAGAAAAACTTTTAATGGGAAAACGTAAAGGTCTTCATCAGGACACATCCTTTACAATAAATGNTATTTATACATAAATATATAAATACACACACATATATATTGGTTTTGTCAAGTTAAATGATATGTGAAATGATCTATATAATACAAAGCCTTATGTTCAAAGGTTTGTATTTTAAAAATCTTCAACCATAATAACAAAAATAGTGTGCATAAAGAAAATTAAATCAAACCTTTGCTTTTTTCTTGATGTGTTTCAATAAAGGAATAACTCCATGAAAACCAGGTTGTGCAAGACTACCATGTGAATATCTCTTGAGTGGAGGTCTATGAAACTGTCTCAGCTTAAGAGGACCCATATGGGTCGGGAAAAAGGGTTGGGTCAGCTCTATGGCTGGGATAGAGTGCTAAAAATAAACAATTTTGATAATAGTTAAGGCTATTAAAAATAAACTCTAATTTTAAAATTAAAAAGAGTAATAAAAAGTATTTAAAAAGTGTAAAATTAAGTAATAAATATTATCTGATTGCAACCTAGTAAAGAAAACGGAGTCATATTTATGTTTGAAATGCTTTGAAATATTTCAATCTGGCTATAAACATAAATAAATGCATGGTCGAGACTGCTGAATTGTCTATTTTTAAAAATTACTTGACATTTTGAAAATAAATTTTTAATCACAAAAAAAATTAATTAAGAAATATAATACTTATTAAATATTTAATATGTTTCATTTTACCATAATTTTATTATACAGTACAGAACCCGTAATCCGGAAATCAGAAAACCGGAAAAAAATTCGATAAATTTTCTCGCCATTTAAAAAAAAAATTTTTTTTTTTTCCTCATAAGATTTTAGGATTTTTCTTTCTTTTTTGAAAGATGTTTACCTTACCATCATTTTGGAAATAATCATTAGTGTATTACTTCATCGTTTTTTCTTCTTTTTAAGATTATTTCCCAAAAAGAAAATTTTTCGTTGGGTTTAACAATAAAAAAAACGGCTTTTTGTAGCGATTCAGAAAACCGGAAAAATCAGTTATCCGGAATAGCGATGGTCCCGATCGTTCCGGATAATCGGTTCCCTACTGTACTTTATTTTCATGAACATTTATGAAATTATAAATACATAACAATAATTCATAGAGTTTAATTTATCAATAGAAATAATAAATTTTTCTTTTTTAAAATTTTAGCTTGTGCCTGGACAGAACTGCATGAAAGGTTTTTCTTTACAAACTGTTTTAATTAAATAAGGATAGAGTATATGAATATGGATAAAAACTAAACCATGTGGATATAGCACAAGTATGTGCTACTTATCAATAAAGCAAATCAAAGTGAATAAAGCACAAATAAAGAGACAATCTATAGTTCTGGTTCTATTAATAAGAATAATCTTCCTCAGAGTCTCAAACAGAAAATTGTGTTTCAACAATGAAGAAGGTTCATTCTTATAGAACCGAAACTGTGGTATCCATGTACCTTTAATTTGTGCTTAATTCATCTATTTTTTTAATTTATTTAAACTACTTGATTGTTGAATATTAATGCAAAAAATTGTTTCTGATACAGGAATAATTTACTAGAGCTACTGTTGTATTAAGTAACTGATTGTTTAAGTTTCTCTGCTTAGAAATAAGAGCAATTTCACAAAATTTTAATAAAATATCTCTCCACTTAAAGCACGATGCGATCATTTTCCATCATCATCATCAATGGCTCCCATGCAGGGGTCTGTCCAGACATTTTGTGAAGGGTCCGTTTTTCGTGAAATTGTGAAAAAATTACTCACATTCTTTCAATCAGGGTCCGCATTTATGAATTTGTGCAAATAGGGTCCGTTATTGCAAAAAAAAAAAACTTTTTCAAGGAGTTTTTAAATTGTAAAGACATACAAGATTATGCTCAACACTGTAAAATTATAATTAAAAAAATTAAATTTTAAAAAATAAACAACAATTGCTGCTTCTAAATTAGAGATGCAACATACAAATATTTGGTATTTAGCCTATACTGCTGAACGCAGAATATTAATTTCGGACGAATAATGGAAGAATCGTCTGCCGAAGACAAAACTTAATTCGTTTACATCCATCTTTCTTGTTTTCTGCCCTGGAAAGGGTTTATTCGATTAACAAAATAATAATGAAGATAAACAAATTTGTGAAGGGTCCGATTAAAAGAAAAATCATTTTGTGAAGGGTCCGTTTTTAAGTTAAATTATTTTGTGAAGGGTCCGTTTTTAAGTTAAAATATTTTGTGAAGGGTCCGTTTTTAAGTTAAAATATTTTGTGAAGGGTCCGTTTTTAAGTTAAAATATTTTGTGAAGGGTCCGTTTTTATGGAAAGATATTTTGTGAAGGGTCCGTTAACGGACCTAAATTTCTTCAAAACAGACCCCTGCCATGACAGCCCAGGGTGGGCCTTGGCCTTCTCAAGTTTTTTCCAGACTAACCTTTTTCCTGCTAGTGTTATCCAACTATTATCTTCCAGTTCATTAAAAATGGGTGATACGATAAGTTCAAAATTTGACTGCAAATAAAATTTCAATAAAAAGATTTTTTTTTTTTTTTACTAAAATAAAATTTTACTATGTCTCAAAGTTAACTGTAACGATATTTATTTAAATCTAACTTACCAATTAATTAAACTGAAATCTGTTAAAAACTTTTTAAATGGAACTTACTTGGATAAGGTTTCCTCCAACATTTGGTTTCAAGGCGGAATCTTGTGTCATTTTTGGATTATAATACTCATCATTTGAAATATTAAAAGGATCTGTTTTTGTATTTTGTGGAGGGGGCTGCAATTAAATATCACAAACATTTTAAACATAAAAAGTGTTCAAAATTAATTTTTAAGCAAAACAATAACTCATATATTTCTAGGATAAAAAAAATAGAATGAATTCAAAAACCAAAATCAAAATATTAAAATTTAACTAACGTTATATTATCACGAATAATAAATTTAAAATAAAATGAATTTACATGAAACAACTAAAACATTAGCAAAATATATACAGATCTTACCGGACTGGGGGGCTCCGGCTCTGATATAACTCCAGCCTTTCCTAATAGAATCCTAGATTTTCTTGCCATGTCCTAAAATTAAGCATTAAATGTTTAACTCTGATGTTCAACTCGGCAGTTAAAAGATAATATAATGTGGAACAAAAGAATATGATATGTTATCAAACATTAATATGGCTGATTATTAAAATTTAAACAAGTGCAATAAACTGCAGAAGGAGAAAATTTCTTAAATCACTAGCTTTACCTTTTTTTCCTTGACAGGCTCATTTGATGCTAAGGAATTTGGATCTGGGTCATCTGGAATTGCCAAAATTATATTTTCGTCATTTGGATCAAGAGTGAGAATTTTAGGTTCCGGTATTTTCTCCATTGCCTGTTAAAATGAATACAAATCAATAACAACAATTCAAGAACAACAATGCGTTTTTTAAATAAAGAAAATGCTTACACCCTGTGGAATAGAGAAGCCAATATTAAATCTAATTTTAGAATAAGAATAATAAATGAGTACTACATTTTACTATATACATAGTAATGTACTCTATAAAAAATGAGTGAACAGATGCTCACTGTTCACCTGCTCACTGATTTAAGATGAACATATATATTACTGTACATAAAAATATTGGGTTAAAAATATTTCACTTTACTTCATGGGTACACAGCAACTTTATATGAAGTGCAGAAACACATATTAAAAGCAAAATATAGTTTAAAAATTTTAATAACTTTTGTTCTAATGATGGACTTTTTTACAAAGTGTTAATCTCAAAGATTCAAACGAGAGACCTCAAATGTGCTAGTTAATTAGGACTAACTATTAATTTCATTGCAGAATCAGACACAAAAACATACCTTTTTTTTTCTTTTTTTTTTACAGATTTCGATTTTTGACCATTGCATTATAGAGGGGGGTGTAGCCATAATTTGGAAAATATGATCTGTCAGCTAAGGTAGGAGACTACTTGAAAAATTGAACCTCCTAATAATTTCACTTTTTTTGTATTTCCCCTAACCTCAGCAAAATATAGATTTTTTGTATTTTACCTAACCTTCACTTTTTTAAAACTTTTGCAGAAAATTATATTATTCATTTATCTAATGACTCCATGCAAAAAGTAATTTTTAATAATAAATTATTCATTATTGTTTTTCAATATTGGTTATTTTTAAACTGTAAGATACACAAACTTTTCATTGTGTAATTTTATACGACAAAATACAAAATTTGAAAGAAATCTGTCAAAAACTATGAAAAATCAAGCACAAGAGTACAAACCTCACTGTCCCAAATAACATCATTTTCCCACTGAGCATACACAAGATCCTCATTTTCAACTGGAAATATTGAATACCAGGTGTCATCCTTTTCCTCAGGTACTTCAGATTCTAATACATAAAAAAATAAAATTTTAAAACTGCTTATGCTGGGTTAAGTCAACTATAATTGAAACTACATTACTACATGAGATGGTTTGATAAAAAGAAATTTATCTGAAGCAGTTTGAATTTAAAACTAATTGCTAATCTATAAGAAATTTTATTCTTAGTTGTTAATAAATAAATACCAACACCAAAATACCCAACACCATTCTTTTGTATCCCATGTTTTTTTTTTGTCATGAGAAAATTAATGTTAATTTATTGATTAAGAAACACTAGGTAAGTTCAGTGGAAGCTTTGTAAGTGGCCCACTTACTTTCGTGGTTTGCTTAGACAGGTGGTTAACTCATAAACAATGGGATGGTTAACTTACCAGGTTTCACTGTAGAGTCAAATATAAAAATAAATAATTTTATTGAGGTTAGTTCTGCCACCAGAGTTAGTGCAGAGTGTCTGCATTTCCTTCAATATGAGCAAAAGTCTCAATAAATCCAACATGATGATGCCAAAAGTCAGAGGGGTTCAAAAAAGCATAGAAAAACCTTACTTGGGAGAGAAAACCTTGTTAATGTGCTCAGGACTCATCTAGAAATAAAATACTATTGTGTTATTTGTTAAGTTGTTACAAGGCAATTCCTACCAAAGTATTAGTATTATGTTATAGCATTAGGACTAAATTGCCTACATAAAGCCAAGAGTTCATAAGCAGCCAAATTGTGACAAGCGACATTCACAAGGGTGGTGACGTAAAGAAATATGTGACATTTAACTCCTAACTATTTTTATACAGGGTGTCTTAAAAATATTAAAACAAACTTCAGAAATGGAACACATATGGATAGAGAATGACATGGTAACCCATGATGTGAAAAACCATTGTACACTGCCAGGTGGTGACCTGCATTTCACTACTATAATACACAGTACTGTAGGGTTGCTGATTCAATTTGTCTTGATTTTTTGTGTGAGGAGCTTTCAAACTATTGTTTATTACGAGACTGTGAAGTTCGTAATGGATCTAGAGGTAAAACTTGCATGGGCTGTCAATACAATCAAAGATATTCCTGCCCTGTAACCATGTTCAGCAATCCATGCCCCATCAAAGTCAGGCGTGCATAGGGTCTGTTGAATCTATGGTGCCTTCAAAGCTATCATATTTAACGAGACCGTAAAATCTTCAGATCTAGTGGTGAGACTGGCCTGTGCTGCCACTACAATTAAAAAAGCTCTTGGTATGCAACTAAGTCTAGCAATCGAAGCTCCAAAATCAGGCATGAATAGGATCACATAATACGAACATACATATGGTAATCTCATAGTTATTTTGCATTAAGAGACCGTGGAATCCAATATAGATCTAGTGGTGAGGCTCACTGTCACCACAATCAAAGAAAATCCTGGCATGCAACCATGCCAAGCAATCCATGCTCCATTAAAGTCAAGCATGCATAGGGTAAGTCAAACTTCGAACATTAGTTGTAACTTAATGAACTCTATCAATCTACCATGAATATGCCAATAGTTTGCTCCTGGCATGCAACCATGTTGAGCAATCCACAACCCATTTAAGTAAAGCATGCATAGATGGATCAAGCTTGCAACATTTGTAGTAACATTATGAACTCTTTTAATCGACTAAATATATACTAATTGTTTGTGGCTCATGGCATGCAACCGCAATCCACACTCCATTGAAATCAGGTATGCATGGAGCATGATGGTGTAAACTTTGAACACTAGTTGTAACATTATGAACTCTATTAATCTACTATAAATATGCAAATAGTTTCAATCGATTATTCTCTCCTGTTTTATTAGATCTACCAATGTTACCATTTCCTCATGCCATATTGCCCAGCATGCAACCATCTGGAGTAATCCATGATCCATCATAGTCAGGTATGCATGGGGTATGATGGTACAAACTTTGAACATCTGTTGTTCACTTCATGATCAGGTGTTGTTGACTGACATGTTGATGGGTTGTTTTGCAATGCCCAATCCTTATGATGTACCCTTTCCTCAAAAGTTTGTTACAACGTTGAGACACAATGTATAAAAAAAATTAACTGAATTTATTTAAGCCTAATAACTTAAGTCTTTTTCGTGTTTACAGTGTGAAAGCCAACTTTCACTTACTATTTGATGCAGAACCTTTGGCAGATTTGGTTCCTTGCTGACCTGATGATTTAGTTCCAGGTGTGGCAGCAATTGTTTTTGCTGAAAAAGAAGTCTTGTAAAAAATTCTGCCACTTTGAATTAAAATAACAGTATTTTTGTATAACAAGCTGCTAAAAACACTGATATAGTTCAACCCGAGAACTAAGTTCGTTTGATGTTAGGTAGTGGACTTATAATTTAGATTAATCACGCTGACCCAGTTTAATGCAAAAAATTGTTAGAAAACTTTTTTTTTTGTATTATGTTTTAGTCTGTAATTATTTAACAAAAAGTTATTCTAGAAATCAGCATAACTGATGCCATAATTATTTATGCTGATGTCATAACTGATGCCATAATTATTTATGCTGATGTCATAATTATTTATGCCTTATTGACTACCCATTGTTACCAGACTTTTGTTAGTATTAAAAAAATATTTGCAGACTTTTAAAGCTGGAAGCAATTTCTGACTTATTTCTAGGTTTTCCATGAACTCCTCGACTTCCTGATATTGCACAATTTTCAAGGAAAAGGATGTTTTGTAAAAACAACACAAACAAAAAGCAGACATGATATTTATGAAATCCCGCTCTTACCCCAAAGTGATTGTGTATAATGCTTCAATAGTAATCATAATTAAAGAAAAAAAAAAATTAAAAAAAATCTTGTACCCCTACTTTTCCGGAAGGATCGATCTCCGGGACACTTTTTAACAATCAAAATAAACAAACATCTCTTCATCTTCCCCTTTCTTTAAAAAAAAAAAAAACTTTTGACACGTTTTCTCTTCTAGCTTGCACTGAACCCCTGATTTATGCATTGAACCCATAAATCACAAAGGGGAAGAGAAGATCTACAAAGACCATTGAGTGACCATTAGAGACGCTCCTACTTTGGAATGCAGGGAAAGAGGGAGAATTGTTTTCAAAAGACCGCAACTGAGTCCCCTCCCCCCTCCTTTCCTATGCAGCTGACTTGTGAAAGAGGCACTTCCTGGAACCAAGAAAAGGGTAAACGCAGCAAGCGGTAACGTGGAGGGGGAGTCAAAATGGAAAATTTGAATAGGTCTAAAAGGATGCACGTTCTTGAGAAACATTAGTTCTTCCCCATACCATGTAATATTTAGGAAGCGGGGGAAAAAAAGGGGGTAACATTCTCTCTTTAGCAGATTCTTTCAGTCATACAAGAAAAAATAAAGAAAACCCCATCACCTTTATGCTTGATTGATAGCCAATGATTGGAGAGAAAACAATAATTTGTCACTTCCCTGCCCTCAACTTGAATGATCTACTCTTTACACTTATATTCTTTCACAAATAAGGAGGAAATGAATTTTTCTCCTCCACCTACCCACCTTAATGAATGACAGGAATTTCCCTTTCTTGCTTGAATCATTCTAGTTAAAAATGGCGGATTATTATTTTCATAGATGTCAATTTTTTTTGGTTCTCTATATTTTAAGCAATAATTTTTTTTTGTAATATTTCATATTTGATTCATTGGATAATCTAATACTAAAACAATATTCCCTTTAAAAATAATGTTTATTTATTTTTTGCTTCTTAGATTTAGATCATTTTAAGCTTTGTTCCAGAATGATGTGAATTTCCCCTTCCTGTTTGAATCGTTCTAGTTCAAAATGGCGGATTAATATTTTCATAACTGTCAAATTTTTTTAGTTTTCTAAATTTTCAGTAATATTTTTTTTCTAATACATATTTCATATTTGATTGATTAGATATTCTAATACTAAGACATTATTCCCCTTAAAAATAAATTTTATTTATTTTTTGCTTAGATTCAGATCGTTTATTAGATCATTTTAAGCTTTGTTTACCTTGGGGGTCTATTATACAGAAAAATCTATTATACGGACTTCTGAAAGTCCCATTGATTCTGGATGCGCGACTTTACAATGTATAAGGAAATCATTGAAAATATCATTACCTTAAATGAAGTACATCGAATAAAAAATCTAAGAGGGTTATTTTTTGAGGCTTACTAATCAATTTATTTAATTTTAGTTTAAAAATCAATGCAAAGGAGAATTTCATTTGGAAGAATGGAACATAGCTCATTTGAAAAACAACTTTTGTTTTTCCATTTATCTTGGGTCTGTATGATCATGCTAGGTCAAACAAAATAAAGTTTGCTTATGCATATTGATTAGCAGGGATCAAAATTAACTCATGGTTCTTCAGTCTGAGGCTCCTAAAATTTAACTCAGATCAACAAAAAGAAATTGTCAGTGGTCACTTGGATCAGCGATTGTTGTAAAGGGATGATTTAGGGATTATTTTTAGTTTCATGTCTTTGTCTGTAGTTTCGTAAATATTCTATAATAAATGCGGCATAACATATCGGTATTGTTATCTTTCATTTGAATTCACTTAATTAAAAAAAAAATCTAATTGAGACATGTAAACGTACCACTGAAAATGTGTAAAACCTAGGATGCCTTATACATTTTCAGCGGTGCGTTGCCATCGTTCACATGGGTTTCGGATTAGTGACTTAATTTTCCTTCTTTATACTCCTGTTGATTAGTATTGACTCAAAGTGACTTTGAAATTCAAGTTTCTCCAATATTTTTTCATGAAGAACGAAGTCACCCACCTTAAATACTATAAATAGTATAGAGTAGTTTTTAGAAAGCACTAAAAATCTTGTTTATCATGATGCAATCCTCAATCACAATAAAAGATATCTAGCTTGTAAAATGTCAGCACTTTAAAATTACCTTTTTTTTTTTAAAAAAAAAAACTGTACAATTGATTCATTATATTTATGAAACATATAGGAAGCATAGAGCATTCTATTAGCAATTTAAGTACATAACAAGTTAAAGCATAAATATATAATTTTTATGTGCGTATAATGTTTTTAAATACACCATAGCAAATGTATATGTTAATAGACAGACATCTTATATGTTTCAAAAAACATTGTATAGACATTTTTTAATAAAAAAATGTTGCAAAGAGTAAAATAAATAAAAGAATAGAATAAAATAGAAATATTTATGAAAGAAAAAAATTAAAAAGTAATATATCATAATAAGACTCGTATACTTAAGAAATCCCTTAGACCCACATAAATCCCTTAAAATAAGATTTTTTACGTAACAAAACAAGTCAAATACTCACATGAACCTAAAACAAACAAGAAAGACCTGAGTATATGATGGGTATAGGTGATATTTTAGAAAAAATAGATAGTTAACAGAAAAAGTTCTTAATTTAGTCTTACTTAACTAAACAACATTCTATTATGCTAAGAATTTTTTCTCTGAAAAACCTTGTGAATGAAGTAGAGTGTTTTCACAGTGGAATAATGATATAAGTGTATATGGAAATAAACAGTCAATGAAAAACTTTCGTAAACTTGCCTCTTGACAGCAAATTAAAATGCCAAATAGATTCTGATAATATATAATCCTACTGTTAGCACATAAACATTTAAATTCTCTAAAATGTAACTCCTACCATTCATCCACACAGTTCTTCATATTATGTCAAAGATAAATGGAATAAAAAATGTTGTTGGCGTTTAATATAATGAAGGGTGCCACAAAGATGACGACTAAAATTGCTCACAGAGCATGGCTTAGATAAAAAATTTAAGTAATAGCTATTACTAAACATTAGAAGAAAGGAGAAAGTGTAAACTAATTCTAGAAACATGTTTGTGGGGAAAGTAATCATCAATGTCAACCTTCATCTATGAAAAGGTACCAATACATAGAACTGAGTTAATGTGTCTTATATTCCAGTGAATTGGAATTGTATTTTTGCAGTGGTAGATACACTACAGTACTCATCCACCAGAATTTTATCTGTGGTAGAATTCCACACGTTTATGTGTCAACAGTAGGTAGCTTAGATAAAAATTTTATAAAATAGCTATTACTAAATATTAGAAGAAAGGAGAAAGTGTTAACTAATTCTAGAAACATGTTTGTGGGGAAAGTAGTTATCACCCTTCATCTTCGAAAAGGTACCAATACAAAGAACTGAGTTAACGTGTCTTATATTCTAGTGAATTGGAATTGTATTTTTGTAGTGGTAGATACACTACAGTACTCATCCACCAGAATTTTATCAGTGGCAGAATTCGAGGAGCGGGATACCATTAGTTGATTCATAGCTCTTTTGTGAAAAGCTGGGAGAGCTGTAGGTCGTCGCTGTGTTGCCATTAGCAGTCGAGTGTGTCTGATCAAGACTGACTAGCAACAGCGCGAGGAGGTGGATAATGTCAAAGTCAGAAGTAGCAAATTAACTGTTCAATGGGGACCATCCATCGAAGTAGGCATGTTCAAATCGAAGTGGGAGTTTCTGTGAAGGTAGGCATGTGGTTGAATCGAGTTAACATGTCTTATATACTAATGAAATGGAATTTTATTTTTGTGGTGGTAGATACACTACAATGTTTATAATTATTTTTTTATAAACACCTAACATAAGTAAGTGACATTTAAAATTAAAAAAATAAAAGAATGAGATTCTACTTTGTTGACTGAAGGCAGAAGCTGTTCGATTAAGACTGGAGGGAACCCAACCAGCAGCATTATTTTTGTCATTCAGCTTGGAAAGAACCTAAAATTCAAATGAAATAAACAAAATTTTTAAAACATTCTTTTATATCTCAATTTGAAATATAATTATTTTAACAATATTATAATTAAATTAATCATAAATAAACCAGACATGTTATTGCTTGAAGAAGAATTATCTGAATTTTTTTCTCTCAATGCAACACAAAAGTAACGTTTATAAAATTTTAACAGAGGAAAAAAAAAATTATTAACTAATGAAGTTTTTTTCATCAAAACATAAAAAAATATACATTATGAAAAAATTGTTATATTTCTGCTTTTTTTTACTTTGCTAGTCATCATCGTATCAAAAATTTAAAAAAACTTTGAAGTTTACAGCAATAACCCAAAAAAGATGGATGATAAAATCACGTGTATCGAAAATCGCAGGAATCGGAAACGTCAAAGAGGGTTAACTAAATGTTGTAATAAACAATATCATTTTAAAAATATCCGAAAATCAGACCAGTGAAACTCCGCGGGAATATTAATTATTGATTCACTTAAGCTCACGAATCAGCGGTTTTGAGATTGGCAGACTTACTCAAATTAGCGAAAGAATCACATGCCTGATGGGAAAATTATTAATTAACTATAAACAATGTGTTAACTTTTTGAAGAACACTAGATTAGAAGGAGGCTTCAAATGACAATGTTAAATAATACATAAAAATACAGGCAATAATAATTGATAGAAAATATTAAATGATTGATAATAATAAATAATTGATAATAATAAATTATTGATAATAATAAATTATTGATAATAATAAATTATTGATAATAATAGATGAAGACAATAATAAATTATCTTTGTGAGGACAAAACAGACTGGTCATCAAAGTTGAAAAAGATTACTTTTACTGACCTTATGTTTGACATCTTCTCCATTCCATATGACTTCCTCTTCCCAAGCACATTGACTGACCATAAAGTATGCATCTGGAGGATAATCATCATCTAGTTCATCTGCAGAAGCTTGAGGTTGGTGACATTCATCTCCTTCTTGGGCTTCCTGAAATGGAGGGCAACATGAAATTAATATCTTTTAATTAATTTCTGAATATAAATCCATTCGCGCATAAGTTGAAGAATACAATTTTTATTTGGAAACTCACCCAAAATTTAAAATTCACATGTAAGCCCATGTAAAAAATAATAATAAGGCATGCTACACTTGGAAATTAAAATTTATCCCCGATTTTCTCCACAAGCACTTCTACTGAAAAGTGTGAATTGACGTCATATCATTAATCTAATCTGTTTTTGTTTCCTCACCCTCCAGGCTTTCCACTGACCATTAGGGATCAACGTCAATGCAGTCAACCCCGCTTAAAGGAATACCATTGGTTCCAGCCAATACTATTCAATTAAGCGGGTTATTCGATTAAAAGAGGAGTGAGTTTTCAATTTTCTTCCTTTTTTTAATCCTCGTAATTTGAGAAATTACAAATTAATTTACTATTTCATTTTGGGATGTTTGGAATTTATGTCTTCCAAAACTTAATTTTTTTTTCTTTTTTGATTATTTCAAATTACTTGTATTCACTGGGGAAAGCACTGATTATTCTACTTTAGAGAAGGACACACTGTATGCTAGCGTGTTACGGTTTAAAATATTTTTCTTATCAAAACTAGGGGACTATAAGCCTTCACTGTGAAACAATTTACTCTGTACCTTTTTACATTGTAAATAATGTATGAGTTAAGTAAGTCAAAGTGAGAAGGGTAAAAACCTCACTCATTCACTCCAATATCAGCCAGCTATATATTCTGAAACTATACTCCTAGCACATGTTTGGAGCAACAAATGAACAGGAAGTCCCCATTGAAGGGACCACCTATTGTATTCTCATCTTCTTCACTGAAAATTTCATCCCAGCTGGTGAAACATTTCTCAAAAATGAACAGATTTTTTCATTTCAGTACCTCTTTTTCTTCATGCAATTAAGCAAAGACTGGAAACAACAAGTATCCATTTAAACAAGGAAATTTAACATTAGTTTAATATAAAATGATTTGGATAAATTAAACTTTATTCGTATAAGCGGATTATTTGAGTATCCAATATGCAATTAAGTGGGGACGAATGTACCAGTTCAACTTGGCAAAAAGTCAGAGTAAAGCATATGAAAAAGGAGCTGTGCTTAAAAAAATCAGTTGCGCAGGTTAGGACATGTTCTCAGCTCATAAAACAGATAAAATGAAGGCGAAGTTTAGTGTTTTTAAATTTTTATATTTAGGCATTCTGTTTTCAACTATTATTTTATGTATTTTTATGTTGTATACGTATATTTCACCATATTTATTTATTATAACTGATGGTCAATAGAATGAGAAGTATTTCTGGCGCTAAAGTCTTTCCAGAATTTTTCAAAGTTAGTGGATTGAATTACAAGTCGACCCCCTAATCCTACTTCAGCTCTCGAAAATTTTCTAAAAATTCTTGTATTATTCGAAAATATATGATATTAAATTAATCTAATATTATTAATTATTAATATAAAATTAATTTGAATAAATATCAACTTTTGAATAAATAGCCAACTTTAACTACTCTTCCAAATTATTTATGAACTGAACTCTTAACTATCCGTAAAATTGAGTTGTGTCTTAAATAATCCGCAAGTTATTTGCGAAGTGATAAAAAAAAAGAAGACAAATTAGAATTTTACATTCCCAATCGATATATTTTATTCCTAAAATGACTTTATATTCTCAAAAATTCTGAAATGAAACAAATGAACAGTTTAACATTTTGAACTTCAATAATTTCAAAATTCTCAATATTCAATTCTATCAATATTAAATATGAATAAAGGAGAAGATGAAAGTTCTTGCTCAATCAGTTTTCATACCAGTAGATTGATTTAAAAAAAGTCAGTAAATGATCTCTGAATTCAAGAATAGACTGAACGGAATAATGATCTCTTTCTAATCAAATGATTGTCCCATGATCTGGCCATTGAAAGAGATCATTACTTCCAAATTTTAAAGTTTAAAAGACTTTAACTTGAAAACTGTGAGCTTTTATTTTAAGCATACTACAATTATCCAAATTTGAAAATATCATTGGAAGGCGGCAATTTTTCTGATAAAATCAGATATAAAAATCATTAAAAAAAATAGTTAATGGTTTGTAGGACCAGTAAGTACTAATATCTACTTGTCCACAGACATTATTAAAACCATTTGAAATTAAATACATTTGTACATCACTTAAAATGACTTTCCTGTTTTATAATCATGTAAGTATTATTTTATTTTGAATAAAAATTTATCAATTATAGCTACTTGAGTTAACTATTGATTTAAAAACAGATTTATTTTTACATAAAATAAAAATTGAAATTAAACAAATTGAACTAAACAAAAAGTAAAACATATTTGTTCTGCTGATGGGGATATATTGCAGACTTCTCCGAAAGCTGTACACTGCATTTTGTTATTTTCTGTATCAAATTCTAGCCATTTGTAATTCATCAACTACTGATTCTGAAATGCACAGATTGGCGTATTCCTATCTTAAACAATCTTTTTTATTATTAAATGTTTCATTTGTTTCTTTTTTATTGACATATAGCTCAGCCATCATTCCATGGTTGATTAACAGAAGACATATTTAGTGGTCCAGTGGACCACTAAATAACACTTTCTTGTGGTCTGAGAGGGATTTTCAGTATTCTCAGACCAGTTAGCCACCACCAATGATTTTGAATGCTGAAAATAAAAGAGTTGTACTACCACAAACTATGACTACCACAGAAAATAAATAAAAAGATACCATAAATAAACAGAAATAGAAGATAATCTAATAAAGGAACCTTGAGGTACTAATACGGTAGAACCTGAATTGGTTGCTTCTCAGGGGTCCATTCATTACAAGCAATAAATGCGGGAAAAAGCCGAATACCAGTCAATTTTATGTATCAAATAATGACTATAAAATGTATGACAATTAACAAATATACTGTAAGTATAAAAAACTTCAGTTGAAATAATTAAGTACTTCTTTCAAAAATATTTATGAAGCAAAAGTTGAATAAATAAATGTTTATTTATTTAAAATATTTGGAAATTTCGGTTCTCTTTCTTCTTAGGTTATAGATAATTGTCTGATTAAGAATTTTCAGGATACAAATTTTCGATGCATGTTATAGATAATTGTCTGAAAGTTCTGGTGAATATAAAAAATTCCTCAATTCTTTAAAGGCTTCCAGATCTTTAGCAAATGTTTGCTCTAATTGCTCCTCTGTAATTGATTGCGTTAAGTTATGTCGTCAGCGATATCACTTTGCCCTTCTTCAGCTTCTTAACCATTTCTTGAATTGACAACACCACAAGTTTCGCCATTTTTTTTAAACGATGGATACACCCGGTTTTGAGGCGATTTACCCAAACTGTAACAAATCTACATTTTCAGTATCAGGATTTAGTTTTCTTTTTTTGCAAAATAAATTACCTTCAGTATTTTTTTCAAAATGTCAGCAGCATTTCTGAGTAATAGATGCAGAAATCTGCTAGTTTTAAAAAGGATCTAAAAGGATTACTATTTTAAGAATAACATTCGGGACAGCAATATGATACATATGGGGAAACAAAAGATGCAGGAATGATGAATCGAGGTTTGACTGTAACAGTACTTATCTCAATATATTGAAACTGTCGAGATTTGTCATCTTGAGGAGAAGACTTAAGACATATACTTTGTGATTGTGAGCTCTATTCTGCTTAAAGATTTGAGCATTTAGGGCAAAATTGCACTAAGGCCAAGGAATTACAAGATATTCCTATCGGGTGTTTGCTAAACTTTGTTTCAGCTATAAAGCTTTTTTGTTTATCATGATTTTGGGTTTAGGTACCTCAATGTGCCCGGTTCTTTGGAGCTAGCTGCCCAAGGTCTATTTCAATATATATTCCACAAAGGCTTAGAAATAAGGTCGATTAAATAGTGACTCTTTATTAGCAAATAAAAAGATGAAATGCATACTTCTTTCAGTTTGAATCCATAATCGAAGCCCTCTCCACTTTCTGGGACATTTTTGAGCATGTCATACCATAACTGAGCAGGGCCATATCTCCATGCAGCAAAACCTGGTGAGAGCTCATTCGATTTGTTGGATTCACTTGATGACCCACTTTTATTACTCTCTTCTGGCTTCAGAAATTTAATCTAACACACAAAAGAGAGAATAATTGTTAGATTTTGTTCACTTAAAAGATTTTCACAAAGAGTATTAAACATGACAGTGGTAATTGTTACACAAAGTAAAAAGTCCTGAAAATCTTATGCTCAAAAAATCTATATCAATTTACATAGATTCTATATCAATTTACATGTTTCATATATAACCCCTTTCCAGTGTCACCCGAATCCAGACTTGTAAAAATAAAATGTTACCATGGCAGTTTTTAACTTCAGTAGATCTCCTGCATTGTAGATTCATGTGGAATAACAAAACAAATTTTTTTAAAAACATATTTTTTGTATGTAAGAGACAGGTCTGGATAATATTCTATCTGGATAATTAGGAGTAGATTGTGCTGTTAATCTGCTTTATTCTGGGCCTGCACTAATGATTTTAAATTATTAGCCAAAGGCAAATCTTAATTTTTTCCCATAGAAAACTTCAAATCAAAATACAAATTTACTATAAATTTTTTTTACTATTTAATAAAATGCAAATTCAAATCAAGAATCATTTTAGTTAGAAAGGAGTAAATGAGCAATGAATGAGAGAATCAAAATAGTTGATATTTTATCGTCTTTGAGGAAAAGAAATAAGAATAGGTTGGGGTTAATTTCGATAACTTCTTAGACTAAAGCAGTAACATAAAGATGAGCCTGAAGGAACATTTTATGTTTTTTTTTTGGGATTCCAGCTGTCTTATAAATAAATATTTTTCATTTTAAATAAAACTGTTTATTCTTTAAATCTTTTATTTACTTAATAAAATAAATATTACTTTTTTGCTTATTTTTCACTGTCACGATTGTAATCCCTCTCAAAAAGAAGAAAAAAAATCAAGGATTGCAGTAGAAGATAAGTTATTTGAAGCATTTAATTCTGCTTTATTAATTTTCATGCTACTCGAAGAGATTTTTTTTTCAATCAAAATTTAGGCGGGGCTTAATATGTTCATTGCCAGCCAAGTGCAGGTGGTTATACTATATCTATCACTGAAAAGTGGAAATCTATAAAAATAAAATCAAATTTTTTTATTTTAGCAATCATTTTAGTTTTTAAATTTTACTATAAGTTTATTTTAAAAAGCAATATGTTATTTTCATGAGAAAACATATTTTCTGCAAAAATAGTTGGACGGTGATATGCATCGAACAAAAACTTAATCAGCTTTTGTGGGAAGAGGAGTATGCGACCATGTCAACCGTCATCTATGAAAAGGTACCCCGTCATAGAGTCGAGTTAACATGTCTTATATACTAGCGAATTGTAGTTGTAATTTTGTAGTGGTAGATACGCTACAGTACTCCCCCACCAGAATTATATCTGTGATAGAATTCGATGAATGGATAACACTAGTTGAATCATTGCTGTTGTGTGAGAAGCCGGGAGAGCTGTATTAAGATCACCGTATTTTTTTTAGTGCTGAATGTGAGAGGTGTATTAACATCACAGTCAAAGTAGCTCCTGTGTTGCCATTAGCAGTCGAGAGTATGCAGGCGTTGAGAGTGTAGACGTTGTGTGAATGTTCAAGACGAGACTGAGAAGCAACAGCGCGAGGAGGTGAATGATGCATTCACAAATAGCAAGTCAACTGTTCAATGTGGACTATCCATCGAAGTAGGCGTTACCGTTAAGAGATTGCGAAGTGGGCGTTACTTGCGTGATCAAATCACGTTCGGAGGTCACCAATGTGGGGAGAGGAGTTATTACATATTCGAGGAACAATCTAGANATATCTATCACTGAAAAGTGGAAATCTATAAAAATAAAATCAAATTTTTTTATTTTAGCAATCATTTTAGTTTTAAAATTTTATAATAAGTTTATTTTAAAAAACAATATGTTATTTTCAAGAGAAAACATATTTTCTTCAAAAATAGTTGGATGGTGATATGCATCGAACAAAAACTTAATCAGCTTTCTAGACACTAACTGTAAGAAAGAGTTTCGTAACGCGATATCACCTGATCCAGCAACGAACGTGTCTATCTGTATTTTAGTTTTTTTTTAATTCTTGCATAATCTCTCACTACTTAAATTATCTGGACTCAATGCAATTCGAATTAGTTATCTTAATATATTCGAATTAGTTGTATCTAACAAAAATTACTGTAATTGAATAAAATAGATACAAGAATTGTTCCGAAAAATTCACATTGACATGAATTCTTCTTTTAGGTAGAAAAAAATCGTTTGCCAATACTTTCACCAAAATGCAATTTGCTTTACATTTGAATGGAATACACATTTTTATCGCATTTGGGAAGGGGGTGAACGCTAAGTGCATGCCCTGGCTTTATTCATAATAAATAGAGCCTGGATACTGATGACAGATGTACTTGAGTACTTTTTTACTTTTTATTTGGGGGTATTTACTTTTTATTTCTTGATACTTTTTTCGGGGGGTATTTTTTTAAAAAACATTTTAGGACATATTTGTTTCACTTTTTATAATTTTTTTCCTTCATTATTATAACTTTGCTTCATATTTCCTTAATATAATTGCTTCATATTACATTTAGGGAAAGGTCATGAAAATCCATGCTGCAGTAATGAAAAAACATTGCTAAAATATAATTAAAAAATTATTGAACACTTTAAGAAAAAAAATTACATTCTTACAAACAATAATTATATTTTTAAAAAATATTCGACTTTAAATAAAAGATAATATGAATATGGATTTAAAATAAATATGAATTTAAAATAAATATGAATTTAAAATAAATATGAATTTAAAATAAATATGAATTTAAAATAAATATGAATTTAANTTTTTACGTGCAGAACCGTCAGTGGGTTAAGGAAAAAAATTACATTCTTACAAACAATAATTATATTTTTAAAAAATATTCGACTTTAAATAAAAGATAATATGAATATGAATTTAAAATAAATATGAATTTAAGATAAATATGAACTTAAGATAAATATGAACTTAAAAAACCTCTTCATCAGATTCACACTCCTCTGGTTTAGGTGGTGAAGGAGGTTTGACCTCTTCCACGATTGGTTTAGAAGGTTTTACTTCATTAGCATCCTCTGTGGGTTTTTTCTTTTTATTCTTCACACCTCGCCATATTTGTGGCAGGCTGGTTGGTTTTCCTGGGCCAAAAAGGCGTGAAAATCGCAAAACCTGTAAAAAAATTTCATTTTCTATAATGTTTCAAAATTGTCGGGAAAACATAACTATTTTATTTCAAATCAAATATTAAATACAAGCAAAAAACTCTCTAAAAAAATTCATTAGCTTTTAAATAACTAACATTTAAAATTTAATTTTATTAAATACTACTTAAAAATAAAAAAATCCATAGAAATGACCTCTAGAACTAAATTAATATAAATGTTAAGAAATAAAAGTATTGCAACTCATCATCATCAATATTCTCGACAGCCCAGGGTGAGCCTTGATCTTCTCAAGAAGTTTTTTCCAGGTTAACCTTTTTCATGCTACTGTTTTCCAGTTTTTATGACCAAAAGGTCTTTTTCTACGCCATCTATCCATCTCGAATTCGGCCAGCCTCTTTTTCGCGTGCCAACTGGTCTGGCATTGAAAACTCTTTTTGTGGTACGAAAAGTATTGCAACTAAAAGCAAATAATGATTTGAAAAAAAAATGAAAAGAAGAATTCAATAAAGAGATCAAATCTAAATGTAGTTAAAAAAAATGTTCGTCTGAAAATTATTTTTTAAAAAAACAGAGAAATTAATTTTAAAATCAAATAATCTAAACATCTAAAGAAAATTTATTAGCTTTCACTTAACCAGTATTTTCAATCCAAATTCATAAATAATGCAACTCAAAAATTGTAGGGAATTAGAGAAATTTTTATGCCAATAAAAGGCAACTATCCTCCGAAAAACTTAAGGTTTTATATCACATCAGGTTTCTTCTTAATGTTAAATACATATATTTGATAATAAAAAAAATATTATCAAAAATGTTGCTTGGTACTGCTTCTCCTGACTTTATAAAATAAAATAAAATGAATGAGAAATTTCCTGTAAAAACAGAATGCAGCAATAAACCTGGGCAATTTTTAATATAACTTTATTAAAAATAAATAAATTAACAAAATATAACAAATAATAATAAGAGTAGATTTATTAGTAGACAGCAAGTCTAATGCCTTTAATTTATCCCATTACTCCCAAAGTGGTTGCTTTATGTGTCCAAACTTTAGTGTGGTTAAGTGCAGGAACTAAACTTCAAAATGGAGAGTAATATCAACATTTTTATTTTGCAATATACCATCTGGAAATATTTTTATTTCACAATGAAATGCAATATTTTTCTAATTTAACTACTTTTTATTTTTTAATTATTTTGTAATTGAAACAACATGTATGAACACTCAGGAAAACAATATAACATTGTATTTGATAACTATTGTTAATCACAGGCTTTGTAGTGAGCCAAAGAAATAATAAGAACATTTTTCAGAAAAGATAGGATAAAATCAAGGTATTTTTTGAAACAGTAAACATATACCATACTACTTTAAAAAAAAAACGAACTAAAAAGCATAATTTGCTCTACTTAATAGCAATAAAAGAAAATTTTATTGCAAAAGAATAATAATACATTAGAATATTATTAATGTATTATTATTCCTTTAAAAATAGAATAATTAAATTAAAAATAAAATGGAATTTCAAAAATAGAACAACATAATTAAAAATATAACATAATTAAAAATAATGCTATTGCATAATTATGCATAATTAAAAATAATACTAAAATAACATAATTAAAAATAATGCTATTTTAAATTTTAGAATTACTTTGTTTAAAACAGAAAACTTTAACAATTTCTAGTATAATTTTATCAATACTCAACAACTTATAATTTCAAATAAATAAATTTAAAAATTTTATATTACTGTTCCATTGAAAAAAATTTACCAGAATCAGTTAGTTAGTATTCCTTGATACCAATATTTAATTGAAATTTATAATATAATACAAAATTCCATTAATCAAATAATTTTAGAGTTTCAATAATCTCGAAATGAAAACAGTGAATATGCCGCTTAACACTTTTGTATGAAAATAGTGATTGATTTCTCAATTCATCATTTAAAAGTTCTATGATACAACTACTGTATTGCTGATTGAAATTGATATTTTTTCAAAAATCACATGAAAAAAATAAATCAGTAATTATGAAACTATAAGACACTACCCACATATAATCAGTAAAGGTCCAAAAACTAAAGCTATTGAATTTTACAATTTCTATTAAAATTATTAATATCAATATTTTAGGAGACACCCTCAAGATTTATGGATAATTAAAGTTTCACTTCCATATCAAACTTAACTTCATGACTAAGTTTTGATACCCTGGTAAAAAGAATGAATTATGAATTATTATTATGAATGAATGAATGAATTATTATTGAATTATTGGATGATGAATTGTTATTATTTTTTACAATGAATTATTATTATTTTATATCTAATTATTATTGTTTATTTATGTTTAATAAAAAAACTAGAAATGATTCATTATCAAAAATGTTTCGGTCCTTTTTTAATAGAAACCAATCTTAAACTTTGTTTCGACACTCTGAAAAAATAATAAAATAATTGATTTTATAAAGCAAATGATAAATTTTATTATTATTCATTTATGTTTCTGAAAAAAATATTACAGAAATAATTCAGGTTCAAGAATATTTTGTGACTTTTTCTTTTTATAGAAACCAGCCTGAAACATTTTACAGATAACCAGAAGATTAACAATAATTACTTTATCAAAATTATACAAACCTGGCCATGTCTAAATTCTGGAAACAACCTTTTGACATCCATGTTTTTGTATTTAGATGGCAACATGGCTGCAAGAGGAGTATCCAGTCTTTTTTGTTCCACACTTTGTGACTGAGGCAGTTTAATTGTATCTTGTTCAGAGGTTTCAGCTGATTTGTTCGTACTACTGGTGGCATCACAAACTAATGTATTTTCGTCTAATGGTTTGGACGGTAAAGGTGGAGGTGGCATCAAATCAGCATCACTTACAAAAGCATCACCATTGACTGGGCTAGAGTTATCTATGTCTAAATAAATAAAAAAATTCTTTTAAAATATTTTAATTGCCTTTAACACTTTGACCCCTGTGGCAGAATTGTTGTGACACGGCAACATTGTTTGCAGAACATTAAAGAGTTCTTGCAGAAAGATTTTTTATTTGGGAAGCAAAAAAGTTTGATTTTTTTCTCTGCAGAATTTTTGTAAAGATTTTTTTCTCTGCAGAGCTTCTTTTTTTCTTTTCTGCAGAATTATATTCAAAAAATGTCTTTCTCGCAAATCAGAGATTAAAGAAACTCTCATTTTTATTTAAATCTTTTTTTTCTACTTTGCTTTGAGAATAAAAAAAAATCCACAATGGCTGATTGATATTATAAAAAATAATTTTTAATTTGATAAAATTTTAAAAAGTTAACAACACAAAAATTTTCTTACAACAGAAGAATATCGCCAATAATATCAGGATATGTAATTCTTTTATATGTATATTAAAAAAAAAACAATTCTTACATTTATAGTTAAAAAAAATTATATACTGTTCTATTCTTTACACGAAGGCCTTTCTTTAAATTTTTTCTTTTCTTTTTAGTAAACAGGAAACGCTTCTGATACTTGAAATTAGTAATTTAAAAATTATTTTCAGAAAGGTATTAGTACTAGAGAGAATCGTTGCAGAAAGCTCAAAAAAGTTCTGCCACGGGGCCTTTGACACAGATGGAACACCAGTGTCACCTTTATTTATTTTTTTCTGACGTTCTTATTACAAGTAAAAGTAGATTTCGGTATTTTTTAATAGTAAAAAGCAGTCTAATAGTTACTAAAAAAATGTGTTAGATTATCGTAATTATATTTGTACTAAAATATAGAATTTAAAAAAAAAGTAGTTTGATTTTTTTCCCATTCATATTCAAACATTTATCAACAATTGATTTTGTAACTTAAAGTAATTTTAATGATGAATAACTGTTTCTCTTCCATCTAAATAACTGCAAATTAATACAAATTTAAAAATTATTATTTGGAAGATTTTACCTTAATAACAGAAAAAGACATTGGTGTTTCTTGCTGTATTTCATAACCATAAATTATTAAAATGCTAAATATAATATTTTTCACTTTTTTCCTTTACCTAACTTAAAACAAAATAATGAAAAAAGTATGAAAAATAAGTTTAATAAAAATACTATGTCAAAGGGTTATTAAAAATCTATCAACCATTGATAATATATTTTCGAAAATGCCTAAAAACTCTGCAAAGGAAAATAAATACACTACAGTAAGACTTCAATTAACGTACAAATGCAAAACAGTTTTAAAATAATTTTGCTGGCGCCTGTTGTAAGTTAAAACAAAAAAAACTTCTATTATTCAAAATCAATATTTCTAAATTCTTCCCACATGAATAAACTATTTTTTTATTTTTTTATATTTTATTGTAAACAAATTAATTGCAAGTTATTAAAAAATTTCCAACAAAAGTATATACTTTCATAAAAATATAAATAAAATGTATCAAAATATAATTCATTACTATATCAATAATTACTCATGGAGAGAAAAACCTTAATCAAATGGCAGACTTTGCTTCTAATACTTAAATGAAAAAAGAAATTGAAGTCAGGAACTATGGTAAATGAAACTTTACAGCAGGCCAAGCTCAAAGGTTCATACTCTGGTTTAAAACTAATATTTAGTTCAGTTTGTTCAAATCTGGTCGAGTTCATGCATTAAATTATGAAGCAAAGGACAATATTTTTTATGAAGCATCCTAAGGAATATAAAGTATTATAATTCGCCTTTCCCCATATTTAATCCACGTTTATATGCAATTTTTTTTGTCAAAAAGAAAAAAAATTTCTTCACACTTACCGTTAGTTTCAGATAATGAGCCAGTAGGTTTTGAATCTTCAGAAGACAGAGAATCAGGTTCATCAGCAAGCTCATTAATGTCAGAATAATCAACAGCAGATGGAGACTTAACCCCACATTCTTAAATAAAATAAAACAAATAAATTAAAACAGTCGGTTAAATTAAGTAAATGGGATTTTAAGAGACGGATTGTTGATAGTAATGAATTACAGAACCCTCATTATAATATACAAAGAATGAGAACTAACTCAGATAATTAAAATTGATGAATAATCAGGATACTTAATTACAACATTATTTAGATGTGAATATATTAAACTACAAATAAAGATACTAAATATAAATAGCAACTTAAAAATAAAACTGTATTGCAAGATCTTGTGGGGATGACGATCAACACAATATTACACAGGTGACAGTGTTTGAAAAATCTTACACTATATTGCAAAGAGCACCTATTATAAATTCTGTAGTAAAACAATTATTTTTCAATGCTACATCACAATATGTAAGTTTGAGATTGACAAATTAAGTTTTGTATTTACTTCAATCAAAACACCAAAATTCATATTCATACAATTTTTATTTACTGCTAATGTTTCAAAATCATGTCGAGCATTATAGGTGTAACAAAATTTTTCATTGATAATCCATTTTAAAATAAAGGCATACTACATATAAAAGCAAACATTACAAAGTTAATCTTTATATTATATATAT